TATTAATAGTTAATAATATCAAAAGAAATTAATCAGCAGAAATTAATTTACAAACAATTCAAAATTATTATCAATTCGCTTATCCTTGAAAAAGGAAGTTCAAGACTTCTAGTTTTAAGTGGAACTCACTCCTCTACAGCACAGATATGATTTTTTTAGAATACAAGAGCTGTCAAGAAGGCACTTGTCATACTCTTACCCGCGACCTTTGCGTTATCACTTTCAGTATTCATAGTTTTTTTACCATAATATTTAGTTAATTAAATAAAACTATCCGCGGACGCTCCTTGGGGGATTTAAGTCATTTAACGAGTTTCACACTCTTTCTCTGATTCTCAAATCTCAACGCATGAGCATGACAGCCAAACCATATCTCAGGTTACTGGCTACTTTCTAATACCCAAAAAAAAAAAAAAAAAGGCCAAAGAAAATCCAACGGCAGTATATTGCAAATCACTTCTTTACTTGGTTAATTATAGGGAGCACATTTGGTGCTCATCAGCATCCCTGAACCAATCTGGTCCAGATTAAATTACTTTTTTATTTTTAAAATAAAATTTTATAAAATTTTTAATAAATATATTTATTAAGATGGATCATTCATATTTAATCAGATGAGTCTAAATTTAATTTTAATTTTTTATAAATTGATCATACAGATTTAATTTGTACTAGTTAAATTTAAAATTTTTGACTTGTTATACTGTTAGATTCAAAACAATTTAAAGTAAATATATATCATCAATTTATAAAAAATTATAAAAAATTTAATATTAAATTTAGACTGATCTAATTAAATATGAATGACACATATTAATAATAAATATATTTATTAAAAATTTTATAAATTTTTATTTAAAAAATAAAAAAATAAGAAAATAGTTTAATCTGGATCGTGCAGATTGGTTCGAGGATGATGTGCATTACATAAAAAATAAAAAAAATAGTTTAATCTAGACATCCGGATTGGTTCAGGGACTGATGAGCACGTGAGAATGTGCTCCCTTAATTTTACGAGAGAGAAGAAACAAGTGTTGCTAAATGCATCCCACTTGAATGAACTTTTAATAACTTCATAATTAGAAGTTCTTGCAAAAAAAAAAATGTATCGATTATTGCCTGCAACAAATGGTCGAGAGGTACACTTTCAGTACCCAATCTACGGTGGGAGGACCTATACACAGCAATAAAAATGATAGAAGTGAAACTAGATCCAGAACTCAAGAATTTCCCAACCTTCATTTCGTTTAAATTTGAAGCAATGAATGATTTTTTTTTTTTTTTTTGTGGGGGGGGGGAGGTTGTTACGTATATTTCAATCAGCTTGTTTATCTGTGTGTGTTAAATTGTCTTTTCTATCCTTGATGTCATAGATAATATAAATTTGCTTAATGAGATTGAAAAATTAAGCAGAGATTTCTTTTGGAATCAATCTGGTGATAGCCGAAAGATGCATCTCATTGCCTAGGAGGTAATCAAAAAAAGACAAGAATGAGGGTGGTCTTGATAATAAAGATCTTATAAATCAAAATGCTGCTTTTATGATGAAACTCTGCTGGGGAATACAGAATACTCATGAACCCTAATGCTCTATGGGTCCTATGCTTAAAGCCTAAATATGAGGGTGGTGATAATATCATTCCTAAAGTCATGAAGAAACGGAGTCAATTTGCCGCTTGGAAAGGGATTACAACGGTTTGGCATGATTTCTATAAATATTTAGGCTGGAAAATCATGAGTAGTGAGACTACAAATGCTGAGTGACATCTATGGTGTCCTCTTGACAGACCTTTGATACATTATGTGGATAAAAGTCGCCATCTCCTGAACCCTGAAGCTACGGTCAGACAGTTTGTGTTAAATGGTAGATGGAATTTAGGTGCTTGGTGATAGCTCCTTCTTGAGTGGTTTATTGATAAAATCATGATGGTGAAACCCCCGAATAGAAGGGAGAGGGATGAATTTTGTTGGTGTACTTCATCAGATGGAAATTTCAATGTGCATTCTGCATATAAGAAAATATCCAGAGCCAATGAACAACAAACAGATATGTAGTGGCATTAACTATGGTGTGGGCCTACAAATTCCTGAAAGGGTCAGGCATTTCCTGTGGCAAGTTTACCACGAGAAATTACCTACAAATTCCTTCTATCGTATGAGGATAAGTTTTACTAAAAGTTAGAGTCAATAATTCGAGTAAGTTAAACTTTTTCAAGCTGAATTTATTTAAATGGAATTTAACGTATTCTACCTCTTTTAAAAAACTCATATAATCAAGCTCAACCTTAATACCTTTGGACTTAGGGCTTATTCAGTCTGGCTTGAAAACCTGTAACTTTTTAAAAATATTTTTTGAATAAATTTTAATTTTTAAATAATTCTGTCAAGCATAAAATATTATTTTAACTTTAAAAGAATAAAATAAAAAATAATAACTTATCAATTTTGTATTTAAGTAACTTTGTTACTATTTCGTTGTATTATGTATATTTTATTCAAGAATATTTTCTTTACTTATAAATTAATATCGTAATTGTTTAAACATTGCTTTTATTATGTTCATATATAAATATTTTCATATATCTTAATTAAATTATATTATTTTAATTAGTATCAAGTTGATCTCAATTTAATTATGTTTAGATTGCTAACTTAAAATCATTGTTCCTCATTAGTTCAAAGTTTTTTTATAATTTTTGGTAAACTGTACTTTTTGTTTTTAAGAATATAAGAAAAATAGCCATTATTATATTGTATAAAATAAAATTATTTAATTATGAGTAAAATATTATTTTTTAAAATTATTTTTTCTTTAATGTTTATATTGTTTAACCCTTACATACAAGAGGTTTTTACTCTAATTTATTTTTAATTTTTAACTAAGTCTGACATGGATAGTAACTAAATAATTATTTGAGAATATTATTCTATTTATTATGTTTATCTAGTAGTAGAATCAGGAATTCGTGCATGCATGAATTTTATTTTTAAAATTATTTTCAATTTTTATTTTTATTTTAAAATTAATTATTTTATTTTATAAATAATATAAAATATATTTTTTTGGATACACAAATGATGTATTGGACTTAAAATTTTTTTTAAAAAAACTGGGTCTTAAACTATAAAAATGAATATTAAAATATATTTTAAATATTATTTTGAGATATTTTATTGATTTAAAATAATAAGTATATAAAAATATAAATATTTTTAATTTTTTAAAAATAACTATAGTAATACACTCAAATATATAGTATTTTAATATAAAATGACATAAAATTTAAAGAATTAATTAATATTTATTATATTTTATATATTTTTGGTCAAGCCCAAACTCAATCGGGCTTGACCCGAATTTTTTCAAACCAGCCTGAATGAGTTTGAACATTAAAAAATTAATATTTTTTAAAATTTAGTTTAAATTATTGGCACTACTAAAAGTAATAAGTGTCTTTTTTATTGTCAAAGTAAGGAACTATTTTACACATTTTGCGTGACTGTGAGATTGCTACTGAAGTCTGGTCAGGTCTTACTCACCGTATGTTTCACCCTGTCTTCTTCGGTGGTAATTTGTAGGTATGGACGTAATGGAATCTAACTCACAACCCAGACTGTAAGAAGATATCCAGATGCCATGGACTAGCATTTTTGGCAATGTTTATTGGTTGATCTGAAAGAACCGATGCAGGCAAGCATTTGAAGGAGTATCATGTTGGGCGAGAGAACTGGTTAATCACTACATACATCAAGTTATGGAAGACGCTCACAGTGGTGTACTAAAACATCAAATCCTCCAGGAAGTTGATCGCCTTGAATGTGAATGGCACTACCCACCAGAAGGCTATGTGCATGTAGATGTAGATGGTTTTCCAAATAATCACAGATATGCGATCTGTGGAGGACTCATCCGGAATGGTAAAGGGGAGTGGTTGGTAGGATTCCAAAGGAAATTGGGGTTTCATCATCCCCCAGCAGCGGAACTGTTCGCCATCAAGACAGGATTGGAAATTTGTAAGATGAGGGGTCTTAAGAAGATCAAATTGTACACAGATTCCCTAGAGTCACTACATCTGCTTTTGACTAACACTGGGACCAACCAACCTCTTTGAGTGGAGACTTATGATATCAGGACTTTGATATATTCAGATTGGGATCTTGAAATATTTCATGCCTATCATGAAGTTATAGCTTGTGTTGATTTATTAGCAAGGAGAGCTAACCAATTGGCGGATGAAATGAGTATTCTGCAAACACCCCCAGTTTACTGCTGGGCCCATCTCCTAAACGATATTGGATAGCCGTTGCTAGTTTTCGTTGTTGTCTTTTTTTTTTTTTAGCTCTCAGTTTTTAGTTTGTCGGTTTTCTGTTAGTTTGCACTCTTGTGCTGTTTCTCTTTCAAGTGTAACTTGCCTTTTCATTTAAAAGGAAAAAAAAATTAAAGAAAGATAGTTCAGCACGAAAATGGATACAGGAATAATCTCCAGCAACTACTAGATATAATATCGGATAGTTCATTTTGATTTTCTATAATTAATTAATTAATTAATTATCAGCAACAATTATGACATTCCCGTACGCCCTGGTTAGCTTTAGTTCAATAGTGTGGATCATCCTTCATTTATTTCTCAATTTCTTAATGAAAAATAGTACTGTGTTACTTATAATCCATTTTGGCATTTCCATGCTTCAAGGTATGTAATTATGTAGTAGTTTATTTATTTGCTAATACACATCAACTACAGATGACAAGTCAAGAACCTTTAGTTTAACTGACGCCCATCTTAGTGATCCTACCCATTAAAGCAAGAGGTTCAATAATCAAATCCCTGTGCGATTAAAGAAAAAGAATTGTGTGGGGGTTTATTGCGAAGTGTGTGTGCAGTGTATGTGGACTATCAATTGTGTGTGTGTGTGTGTGTGTGTGAGAGAGAGAGAGAGAGAGAGAGAGAGAGAGAGAGAGAGACCCCCTTTCTTGTAGGGAAGAATTGGATATGATAAATCAAAAAACCTACAGATGGTGATTTCTGAGATTTTATTACCAACTTGCAACTGCCGCCTTAGCAAAACCACAATCGTCTTGTAACAGTTCTCTTGCTCAAAATCACCGCATTAATTACAACTATGATATAAACAATAACAATTACAACGATTAAAACCACAGCAACAGGAAAATTAATCACCTCTATGGCCATACAATATCGGTCTCAACTCTCATGTCTCTCTCAACTGCTGAAACACTCTTTACACTTAGCAATGTGTGAACTGATTTAATTTGTATCACATCAGATCATGAGGTCCATGCAAATTTCAGGATCACGAAAAGCTGGTGCTTCCCTAGAATCCAGAGATCTTCATGACAGAACCCAAGAGCTACTTCAACAACCCATTCGGTCCATGAGACTTGACTATGTACACTATTGGACAGGGGCCACAATTTCTGGGAACCACATATTGGACTATTCTCACTTTACTGATCGCACACCTATGGTTCTTACACGAAATCGGTACTGGGGCTGAGATTCTTCCTCATCTTCGTTGTCATCGTCGTTGTCATCTTCACTAGAATCATCTTGAACACTGTCCCATCTTGCATAGTTTAAAGCTGAATGCCCTTTCGGTTTTGGAATCGATTGCCATGCTTTGGAATGTTGCTCAGCTGGTTCCTCGTATGGTGCTTTGGCAATTGTCCCTGGTGTAGAAGTTTTTGGCTCCGAGTTTTGGTCCATTCTTTGCTCAGATGATAACTTGGAGTCTATTTCAGCATTAGAAGCCTTGTCAAGCTCATCTTTCTGATCGCTCCCAACGTCTTTCTCTTGTGATTTTCCCCATTTATTATCTCCTTTTATTGTCACCTCATCTTCATCATCTCCCTGTTCTTCAAACTCCTCTTCTGACTCTGGTATTGGAGCAAGTGACTTTCCTTGAGCAGAAAAAAAAGGACATGATTTCTTAATTATAGCTGAGAAATTACTTCATTCAGAAACTACATTCTAGGCCAAATTCACTAGGTTATGAGAAAATCTTCACAAATTAGCTGTGTTTTATAAGATGCAAGGGCAGTTAAGTACTCCGTATCATGTTGGACTTTGTTACTTATTGCCTTAAAAGTTTGATGCTATCAGAAAATAATCAAAGGACTAAAACAAGTAAAACCAGCTTGACTTCTCACAAAACCTATAATTTTTAATAAAACTAGGCTGCAATTTATTTAATAGGGCCTCATAGCAGGTTTACTGATACAGAATTCAGATGCCAAAGGTCAAAACTCTTAAAGAACCAAGTTACCAACTGAGCAATATATTTCACTGCAATAAAAAAAAAAAAAACAAAATGAAATGGGAGAAATAATGCCATACCAATTGCGTCCTTAAGCGAGCTTGAAGATTTTGATACACCTCTGACGATGGATCCAACTCTAAGAGTCGGTTGACATCAAAAAGTGCTGAATGGTACTCCTTAAGGGTGACTAGTGTTTGAGCTCGCAGCATCAATGCTCCACTGTGATTGTGATCTAGCTCAAGCACAGAGGTACATTCTTCTGCAGCCTGAGATGACAGCACAACCAATTAATTACATCCCAGAAAAAAGAAGAGTGTAAATCATACAGCAAAAGCTTGCAATTAGACAGATGGGGACAATCACAAGCATGGAAGCAATGTTACAAAATATCTACAACACAAGGCCGTTATAGTTTGATATCCAACTCTAAGAATCACAAGACTAATGGTTTGACATTAATATCTGTTGAAAACTATACATCTTTAGACAGATGGGCGAGAGAAGAAGAGAACAGATACATTTCTTTTCTCATCCATTGTTCAATAGATGAAGGAAATATATCTACAGTCCTTGTTTGGCACATGGAATTAATATTGATTTACACCTTCAGTAAAGTACAAGCATAGTTATTAGTCAATCCAAATGAGATTTCATCTTTAAGCGCTATTATGTTTTCCATCTTCCTCTAGCCGCTCCAATACCGCCCAAAAATTTGGACCTTATAGCTTTCTAAGAAAGAAGGGGAAGGGAAGTAGACATTCTGGAATCTGGATTGGCTAAGATATAAGAGATTCAGCATAAGCATCTATCCAACCAGAAAATTCTGCTGGTAATTTTCTAAATAATGAAGATGGTTTTCTCCTCATTGAACAAGTTATCCTCACCCTCAAGTATCAGAATATCAGCTTCGGAAATTAAAGAAATGCAAAAAACCTAGCGAGATAAGCTCTGAAATCGCTATACAAAGTAATACCTCTGGCTGCCAATTTTCAAAATAGTACAAATATGACAGAAAATAGACATCACACAACACCAAAAATGTTTCCCAAGATATAGTTGTCACTATTGTCACTAGCAGAACTAGAAAGAAAAATAACAGATATGATTCAATTTTAATCAACATTTATTTATCTAAAAGCTCTTCCTTAATATTCAAATCCAATTGAAATTACATCAGAACAAAAATGGAACCTGAGCCGAGCAACAAAAAAAAAAATCTAACTTGAAGGATCCCACTTGAACAAGCTCATCAACGAGTAGTAACATCACCACCGTTATCGGTAGATTGATTGATCCCTTAGAAGGGGAAAAAAATCGAACCTTCTTGAAATCGTGAAGCTTGAGATAACAAGCTGCTCTATTGCTATGCAAAGCGATCTTTTGAGCCCTAGTTTTAGCCATCCCAATAGCCTCCGTGTAGAAACCTAGAGCATCGCCATACCGTCCGTCGCGGTACATCTGGTGGGCGCGTTCGATCTTTTTCATCGGCGAAGCGGCCATGATGGTCGACCCGGCGTCGATCAAAACCATCGACGAACTCCAAACCACAAAATTCAAACTTTCAGAAATTTGAACTTTGGGCAGTTCGCTTCTCAGCTCAAAATGACAAAACAGAGAAAGACAGCTAGAGATATCGAACTGAGGCGCAATTATATAATATCAATCGATTATCATTATCAATTCTCAATCATCTTCCCCCAACACGCGCATTTGCTGGATTTGCTGAATAATTTATTTTATTTTCTAACAAGGAAAGCATAAAGAAATAAATAAATAAATATATATATATATATATATATATTACTTTTTTAGGTTAGTTTGGTTTCTAAAACTTGTACAACAATCTTCGCATGATAAGAAAACATTAAAGCGAGGTCAAATTATTTAGAAGAAGAACGTCTGCTCAAAAATCGGTAAATTCATCGTTAATTAAATAGAATTTTTTTTTTTGAAAAACAATTAGTGGTTTGGTATTGATTCATTGGTTTTTAATCTCCTTTTGGCCGATGACTCATAGGTTTGAAGTTATCTATTTTATTATTATAGCCATTGTCATCCACTAATCCACTCAATGTGACTCCAATTGAAATATTTGCTTTATGTCAAAAGTATGTCAAGGATTTAAAAAAAAAATGCTTATATTATTGAGTTATGTTCAAGACTCTTTCTATCATCATTATATTGTAAAATGTCATCAAAATATCAGTGTTTCGTTAAAACCGTAAACAAGACTGGAACTGAAGAATATTTAATATGTTTTTTTTTTTAATTTCGAGAAGCGAATTGTCTTGAATAACAATATAACTGGACAATGTAAGTGGAGGCAGTACAAATGTAAAATTGGCATGTGATCTCTGAAAACGGTATTTGATGAAAATGATTAATTATTAACAAAAATGTTTAAAGCTGGAAAGTGACCTTTTTGTAATTTATCCAATAAAGGCTCATGTTATTTCTCCCCATAAAAATTATATCATTTTACCTTTTTATATGATTTTATTAATGTTCTCAATTATAGATGCATGAAATATGAAAATTAAGCTGCAGTGTTCATGTATCATGATTCATGGACAATGGGACCTTAAATTAAGATACAAGAATACGTGTTTAATTGGAAAATGATGTGACATGCCTTTTCCCAAACAATTGCCTCGTTAATTCGAAGAATCACGATAAGAATCTTACAGACAGTATGATATGAGTAATATAATTTTCTTATTAGAATATCCAAAATTCATGAAACTGTATTATGTAGGATAAGGATGTGTTTTACATTGTTTTCATTTTTTATTTTTAAAAATTATTTTGGAACTATTTCTTAAAAATACATTTTTAAAATAAAAAAAGAAATATTTATTTAATTATATTAATTTAAAAATAATTTTAAATTAAAAATAAAACAGTAATAATAGTCAAGTATAACTAATCGTGATTGCCAACTCAGGTGATCAATGATAGATTATAACAATAGAGGTTGTAACAACTTACCTGATTAAGTGTAGTGTGTTTTTTAAAAAACATGAAAATAGAGGTTGTAACAACTTACTTGATAAGCGTAGTGTGTTTTTTTAAAAAATATGGAAATAATCTTAAAATTTTTATTTCATACATTGTGCACATTTCATTATTGTTATTAATTTCTATATCAATCAATATCAAGCTATTGAAAATCAGGCCAGCTATTGAATCAGCTAAAATCAAGAGTCAAGGTTGAAGGGTTCAACTGAAAACCAACTCAAAGTCAAACTAATATTAATAGAATAATATAATTTAAATAAAAATACATTATTCAAAACTTAATGTCTTATACAATAGCACATATAAATTTAACATAATCATCAAAACATCATTAAGAATACATAAATTAGTAAGTTCTACTGGAGGGAATATGTTCAAATAAGCAAACCAAGTTCCAGTAGACCAACACAATTCCAATAATTAATATAAGAAAAATTAGTACAATAGTATATCATCTAATGGAAACTTTTCAATTTGGAATTATAATAGTGAAATTACACATAAAAATATCATTGAGCACATTTGAAGACAAAAAATAAATGTAATGTTTAGATATAGATTACAATCCTAAACAAACAAGCCAACACTGAAAGATTACAGTCCTAAACAAAAAATAGATGCAATGTTTAGATTCAAAATGTGTGAAGCTTAAAAAGTGAGCATAGAGAGAAGTTCAAAATGATACTTTATCAAATATAGAGCAAAACACCAACACCTGAAGAAAAGTTCAAATCAAGTAGGGTAGATGAATTGCTTGAAGCTGAAGATGGGATGATGAATTTAAGCTCATTCACAGGGACAAGACCCTCAAAGCTCACTCTTAGGGATGAGAATGATCGATGGCAACGACAGTAAGACAAGACTTAGTTGAACTCGACTGGACGACGCGATAGAGAAAGACGCGCAAGTGATAGCTCAAAGAGATGAAACACAAAAGCAAAGAATGAGTAGCCGAGTAGGACAAAGGGAAGGAATGGTGGATGACTTGACTAAACTTTATCTCCAAGGCAATAACTCGAAGTTTAGTTTAGAGCTTTTGGCTTTTCTTTTAAATTCTTAATTTTTTTTTTATATTTTGACCTCCAAAATTATGTCGTCTTAAGGGTAAGAATTTTTTAAAAAACATCAACTTGGCCAACTTGCCTGACCCGTGGGGTTGGGTAGGTTGATCCGGGTTAATCATGAGTCAACCGGTTTAACTTGGATCATACATGGCCACTTTATAATGGAAAATTGAATCGGACAAACGATTGGGTCACTTGGTTACCAGTTCGACTGGCCGGTTGGGTTCAATTTTAAAAACAATGATCAATATATTAATATAGATTACATACATCAATATATGAATACATAAATTTGAGTGGAGTTGGGTGGGTTATGGGTCTAGCTTAACTTCAATTTCCCAAAGTTGTTTTATTTAAAATTATCAATTATTAATAATTGATTTTTTTACCAGATTTTCACACCTGCGTGATATTACTTGTCTTAAGCACGGCAGACATGATGAAACTTGTGATCAATTATTAATTTAATATTTTAATTTCAAGACTATCTTAAATATCACTTGCATGTTAATCTTACAAGGAATTTAGTCGTTACATTTAATTTCTATGAATTTAAATTTATCTATAATAATGTATTAATTAATAAAATTATATATAATTATAAATTATAAATTATATATTCAAATTACTTTCTATGAATTTACCAGCTAAAATCCATATCTCCGGGAGCAACAAAATCCACATGATATCTATTCTATTGCAATGATCTGAGATGGGGTTTTTGCAATAGAGAGTCAAAATTTTCTTGCAAAAGTGAAAAAGCAAAAAAAAAAAAAAAAAAAAAACCGGAAGAAGAAATATCGGTGGTCGTTGGGTCCCGGGGGGACTGTACGGCTTAGGCTATTTCTCTGTCTTCTCCTCCTTCTCCCACTTCCTTTTGCCCTCTTCACACTGAAGAACCCTAAACTCTGAAATTCCAAGTAATCTTCTTTTCCCTTTTCTTTCTTCTTCATCTTCATCTCCATATTATTCAGTTTATACCCAGTAAGTGCAGCGCGGGTGCTGGGAGGTCCATTATTTTTGGTGTTTTACTTGGTGCTTGCAGATTTCATTTCTATCGCACCCATCGGGCTCTTCTCCTTTATTGAAAAGTAAGGTTTTTAGATTCGTGCCATTATCCTTGTAATTGCTCAAATTTTAGTTTTGTTCTTATAGCTTGGGTGTTTATTTGGAAAATTAATGTTGCTGACACTGGATATCGGTTGGCTGGTTCCAATGATGGAAATAGGGTTCCGGGGTAGTGAGCCGATCTTGATGCCTGGACTATCCTTTTCTTCAAGTGAGCTTATATGAAATCGGGACTTTTTGAAGTTGCTTTACATTGTAATTCTACGTGAATAAATGTGCTTATAGTGGAAGCCTCGTTTTTAGCTGTGATTAGCGGTTCTTCGATGCTTGACTGCCTTCTTTTTTTCACGTAGCCATTAATTGGCTATCCAGAAGAGCGTAAATTGAGACTAGTCGTTATGTGTTGTATCTTGGGAATTAAATGTTTCTTCAACGTCTAATATAAGCAAAGGAGTGTTTGATGAATAAGGATGAGATATCGACTTTAAACAAGCGTTTAGAATATTCTTTACCTCTTGTCATTTGATTGCATTCTGTGTTCATTATGTCGCAACTCAAATGCCACCTTCCTACTAAATGAAAGAGTAATTATATAATAATAATAAAAAAAACAATTTCCTCTTTCCTCTCCGGTCTTACTGTGTAATAATTGAGATACAGATGAATGTACTTTGTGAAGCAAATAACCAAACTTGAAATAACCTACCCTTTTCTGTATTCCTGTGCTTGTCATGTGTTAGCTCTAGGGGCATACTGGAGTTTAATTTAGTGATTATAGATTGCTTGAATAGTGGCATACGGAGACACAGTGATCGAGGTCTTTGATTGAGGGGCTGCTGCTGCTGCTACAACATCTGTTCACATGATATCTCAAACTTGTATATAGCATAATGTTTGTTTATAACATTGGATATGGAGATTTAATAAGCATTTGTGTGGATAAGGTTTGGCTAGCAACATATTTAACGGGTATGCCTTACTTTTATGCCTAAATTGGTCGTCCAAGAATTGGTAACATGTGAGTTTTGTAAGGTTGTTAAGAAGTTCTTGAAGCTGGTTAATTTTGTCTTCTTGTCTGCTAATTAAATAGGAGGAAAAGTTTAAGGATACTTGCTAGCGTTCTTTTATTATGTATGCTTGTTTTCTCATTCTTGTAGTCAATGGGCAGGGGAGCAACTGTGCTTTGCTGTCTTTTCTGTTGCATTGTGACGTCCTATAAACAATCTGAACAACAGTAGTCCTCTGTCAGCATCATGGCTGGAGTGCTGTCTGGAGAAGTCTCTCATCATGGAACATATCAAGGGGGTTCTCAAAGACACACTCCAGAGAAGCCAGAGGATGGTTCTCGTTGGTACTTTTCTAGGAAGGAGATTGAAGAGAATTCACCATCTAAGAAAGATGGCATAGACTTGAAGAAAGAAACTTACTTGCGCAAGTCATATTGTACATTTCTGCAAGATTTAGGCATGAGACTTAAAGTGTGAGTTCTCTGTTATGCAAAAAGCTTTCCGTTTCTCTCTCCCTCCCTCTCTCTCTCCCCCTTTTGGTAATGTTAAAGCTCTATTTCAACTGTAATTTGTACTTGTTATGCCAGTTTAATATCTATTGTAGATTTTATTTTCCATTGGATTTTTCACTTGGTATAACATTTTATTTAAATTTTACAAAGGCAAGGTTGTCCTATTGGTGATTTATTTTCTAACCACTTCACATTCAAATATGTATGTATACTTTGTCCTTGAAAGTTTAGGAAAAAGATTTACCTTTGTTGCTAATGGTATTGAAAGCACTATTGAACGGCATTGAAGATGCATACATTAATTTGTTATGAAGTTGATTTTTGGTTTTTATGTGACACAGACCTCAGGTAACCATTGCCACAGCAATTATTTTTTGCCATAGATTCTTCCTTCGTCAATCCCATGCAAAGAATGACAGGAGGGTGAGTCTGTTTCCTGTTTCCTAAGTTGCATATTGTCATTGCCAGACGATGGTGCTCTTTTCTTGTAGTAAACACTTGGATGTGGAGATATCATAGGTTCAACCCTTAGCAGAATAATGAATGTTTATATTTTGAACCTTCCACTTTCAGGGTTCCAGTTCATTATAACCAATCCACTCTTTATGGCGTGTCTGAAAAATGCAATATTTTCGTTCTGTGTCTCTATTTAGGTGAAATGTTAGCTCTATAGTTGTCTGAGTGAAGCCAATTATTGGCCATATTCTTGAAGAATTTGTTAAGACAGTTGAAAGAAACTTGTAGAATTATCTCCATATTTTTGTGCTATCCTCTTCATTTTCTATTTTAATAAATACATCTAATTATTTCCCTTGGAGTGCATGGATTAGTTGTAAATAGTCTTGTGGTGAGAAATTCTTCACAATTAATTGTATATTCATCACTTTGTGGGCTTTTAATATTACTTGAATACCCTTAATTTCAGATGACCAATTAGTTTAGGAGAATCTATCTGAAATAAACATTTAAAAGAGCTTAAAGAAATACCAGGATGGAAATATAGCAGCATCAGGAGGAAAAATAGTGGTAACCAGTGGGGGAATTGTAGACAAGGTGAAAAAGAGAAGAAAGATGGCACAACACTTAATAAGATGAAGGTGCCTTGCCCTCAGGTGAAAATTAGAATCGGATGCAATCAAATGCTTTCCCAGTGCTTTTGAAGGTGGAAAATGGGAATATCCTCCCACTGAAGGAACTATGCCAACATTTCAATTGAATCATTATCAAATTGGTCTTCCTTGACCAAGTCAAGTAGTAGCAGGAGTTCCAAGTCATCTGATGAGGAAGATAGAACCTGTTGTCTTTGAACTGATTGACAGCCTTTTTCTTATTGTAAATAGTGAAGGCAGTGAAGTTTGGTAGGAGATAATACTGATTTATAGGTCACTTCTGTGATTTGCTCTTGTATTTGATATGGACCTTAAAACCAATGGTAAGCTGTTCATTGTGCCAATCAGTGAGCAGAAGTTTTGATGTTGAAGCTTCCAATAGACCCCATTATCCTCTGAAAACCTGAGTTTCCCTTCTCCCAGAATTAGCAAACTTATTTATATTGTGTTGTGCCATCATAGAGTTCTCTTTAACTTCACCTAGGACAGAATAAGATTTCCTAATTGCCGGTTATCATTTATTAAGTGCTTGTTCCTCCAGATACCTTAATAATGGTGGTGGTTACAGCTATATAGGGCTTTAAATGAAGTTACTAAGTACTATGGAAGGAGGTTAAGCCAATATCCAGCCCATTGTATTAGGCCACTGCTTAGGGTGTGCATCTGCAAAAGACCTTAAAATAGGTGTTTAATCAATTTCAGCCCATGGCAGTCACTTAGGCCATTGTTTAGGATGTTCGTCTGCTAAACACCTTAAAGTAGGTTTCTAGGTTTTACTTAACGACTATGGTTTGAAAATCTGTGAGTATTATAGGTTGAGTTTAAGGGTTGGACCAAGAGCCCAGTCCAAAAATTTCTCCTGGCAGCTTGTCATGATCTGAGACAACACAACAACAACAACAACAAACAAGCCTTTATCCCACTAGGTGGGGTCGGCTACATGGATTGCAAGACGCCATTGTGCTCTATCATCATGATCTGAGACAATGCGGCTGGGAATTCCTTGCAACCTTACCACTCTCCTAGCTAGTACAGCTGCCACATCTTTGACGTCAAAGGGGTGTTTGAGGGCAAGAATGTGGGAACTTGTTCATTTAGTGCAACATGGCACAGTATCTAGTCTTGGTGCTGTTGGTGAGCCCGGTCCTGTATCTTTAGAAATATCTTCCCATGCATGGGGTGGAATGGGAAGGAACTGTAATAAACCTGTTGGACTCTTTATACATGTGCTGTCACATTTCACATTTGATTGAACTACTAATTATTTGACTTAAGTCTTGAGGGCCTCCCATAAACATCAGACTTGTGACTCTTTCATAAGTGCGGGGAACCCCCAAACATGACTACTAAAAGAGGAAGCTTTATACAATGAGGGATTCTAAATTGTCACCTGTTAAACCAGCCAAATCATGCTTGCGAGGGTTTTTTTAAACCTTCCGCTAGTTACATGTATCTCTGGTGATTATTAATCAAGTAGTACTTCTGTCAGATGACTATCCATTTGATTATAATTCTATGATGTGAATTGTACTTTAGGATTCTTTGATGCTGGCCATCAACCTGCTGCTTGTTTTGTCACTTGTTTGAGCTTTGGATGCGTCTTTTTAGAATCATCCTGTGCTTGATTGAGATCAATCTTGTGTCCTGCCAGTTTGATACATTAGTCTTTATGTCCATAGTCATTGATAATCTTTTTTTGCATTCGCTAATATGATTTGTTAGACTTAGCACAGGATACAGTATAACAGTGTAGAATATTTCTTTCTTTCATTCATTTTTTTCTGGGTATGAGCATAAATTATTTACATTGGATAAATTAAAATAGTTGCTTATTTGTTTAAACTTTTTCTTTTTTGGCAGACCATTGCAACAGTATGCATGTTTCTTGCTGGGAAGGTTGAGGAAACTCCTCGCCCTCTAAAAGATGTAATTCTTGTTTCATATGAAATTATCCACAAGAAGGATCCTGCAGCAGTTCAGAGAATCAAACAGAAGGTGTATTATATGTCTCTTGCTTCCGTGATTTCATATGAAGAAATCTCTGCTACCATCACTGGACTGCCTGTTTATGAGTTGTATATTTGTTAGTGCGATTCAGTTTTTTATATTATTTGTCTGAGCTTTTGTCTTCTACCTAAACTTTTCAAGTGGTTAAAATTTCATTTTTACATCTGAATTTTGTTTTCTGGACTGAGTTAAATATTTACTCTCTTGATAATTTCCTTTTTAACATTCTCATTATTTCTATCAAAATTTGGATTTTCAACTTGTTCCCTGTGGTGTAGTTTCATTTAAAATATAATCTTTTCTCACCCTGCTGTTTCTGACAACTATGGTGCAGGAGGTATATGAACAGCAGAAGGAATTAATCTTATTAGGAGAAAGGGTTGTTCTTGCAACCCTTGGTTTTGATCTTAATGTGCATCATCCTTACAAACCACTTGTTGAAGCAATAAAGAAATTCAAAGTTGCTCAAAATGCCCTTGCACAAGTTGCCTGGAATTTTGTGAATGATGGGTATGGAGATAACACCATTTTTGTTATGCTCAATTGCCGTTCCTTTCCCTTCCTGAAATTAGGATGTGGTGTGCAGACTTCGGACATCTCTGTGTTTGCAATTTATGCCCCATCACATTGCAGCTGGAGCCATATTCCTTGCTGCCAAGTTCCTCAAGGTGAAGCTTCCGTCAGATGGTGAGAAGGTTTGGTGGCAAGAGTTTGATGTCACCCCACGCCAATTGGAGGGTTGGTATCCTTTTTTTTTTTAATATGTACATACTTTCTGCCAGTATTCAGGGATATAAGAAATTGAAAAACGAAACTGCTATATTTTCATCTCTCCCTGTTACCTCTTTCCTTGCTCTCTTCCTTTTCTTTGTGTGGGAAGGGTTTGAGTAAGAATCAATTATCTAGTTAATTGAGATTCTTGTGCTTATGAAGAAACACAAACATAGCAAGATCATTTTAAACAGGTGGAATCTAACAGCAAATATTATTTGATCGTTTACTTTCTTTCTATCATGAAATACCCTATTGTGTACTTTCGCAATTCACTTTCTGCAGAAGTAAGTAATCAAATGTTGGAGCTTTATGAACAAAACCGAGTGCCACCATCCAGTGATGCTGAAGGAGCTGCAGGCAGTGGGCCTACTAATCGAGCCCCTGCAAAAGGTCCAACCAGCAATGATGAGACTGCTACCACGAACAGTAATTCTCAGACTGGTCCCACGAGTTCAAAAATTGAAATCTCAAAGTCTGCAGCTTCTAAGGCAATGCCTGAATCATCTGCTACTAATCATGCTGGGCGCCCTGTATCCAACCATAATAGAGGTAGTGATTATGGAAGCTCAGAAATGAGACACAGGGCAGAAGATGAAGCTAAACACAATCAACATCCAGAGTGGGAACCTTCAGTCTTTAAGGAAAACTCTCAGGAACCTGCAGACATGATCAAATCCCGTTCTGGTTATGGTGAAGAGCAAGAAAGCCATTTTGCAAGAAGTGAGATGAAGGAATCTGGTGAATTTAAAGATAAACATACAAGCAGAAACCTAGATCACAGAGATGGCACGTCTGGCCGGCCACCTCAGGAAGCCATAAAGAAAATTGATAGAGACAAGGTAAAAGCTGCACTAGAGAAACGGAGGAAAGCATCTGGTCAGATGACTAAAAAGACGGAATTCATGGATGATGATGATCTCATTGAAAGAGAACTGGAAGATGGGATTGAACTGGCTCCTCAGAATGAGAAGAGCAAGCAGGATAGGAGGCAAAGCTGGTCTAAGTCGTCTGATAGATCAGATCATGAGACCATGCAGCATGGAAGGCATCAAGATAATGAAGATGAGCATCATCATGGTATAAAGGGTCTTCCATCATATCAATCTGATCTAAGTAATGTGGAAGAAGGGGAGTTATCGGCACTTGATGACATTGGTCTGGGTCTTCAGTCGCCCAAGTCAAACAACCGCAAGAGAAAAGCAGGGAGCTCACCTGATAGAGTTGTGGAGGGGAAACAATGGCACAATTATACCCATGGTTCTCATCATCATAATCGTTTTGATTATATGGATGACCGAAACAAAGTCAGTCGGCTGGGTCATACTGAGAGGGATAGCAAAAGGCACATACAAGAGAACCATGTTTGATGCTGTGGCTACAGTTGCGGGGTATGTGTCACTTATAATTTTGAAATATATCTGGATATGTACCTTTGCAAAGATCTTGGAAAGCCCTCAATTCTGTTCTGATGCAGATGCACACCCTGTTATGATGCTTATTCCCCTGGTCTAAGAAATCTCTGGATATTGAAGGTAATTTGAGTACCCCTTCTTCGACTTGGTTGGTTGGACCAGCACTTGTATAATTTTTGCCCCCCTCAATTAACGGGCTTATATTTTAGCCAAAATAATAATAATGGGCTTATAGGAGAAACAATACTATGTGAAGGATGATATATCTGGATTAAAGATGGACATGGAATGAAACGTCCAATTTTCCAATATCATGATCGATTTTGATTGCTCCCCTCAAATTAGTCACCGTGATATAAACTAAAAATTTAAGTGATCAGAAGATGGAAGGGGTTTTTTCTGGTGTTGTACTAATTCCAATGTCATGATACTAATACCAATGTCATGAATGAATATTGCTCATGATCTAAGCAATTTCCCGTTGTGGTTGGGATGCAGAGGATGAACTAACAAGTGATTCTAAATGGGATATTTATTCCAAACCGGGAACCTCTTTGAACCTCCGTGATGAAGCCAGTGAAATAAATGACTTACAGCTTTCCAAATAGTAATATGATTATCGATCTTTCTGTATGGATTTTTCTTAATGTGAATATACGATTCTGGAATTGATGGAACATGTTCATGAACACCCTGTAATATTCAACCGGGGTCACGGAAATCGCTGTAGTGACTCGATGACCTGGTGCTATAATTTTCCTTAACATTATATTGAAATTCCGAAGTCCTGTCTAATTTTTCATATTTCGTTTTGGTTTAATCTCAAAATTTGTCCAAACAAACTTATCTTCTGAAACAAGTGCTAAAGGATGAAGTTTTTCAGAGGCGCGCTGTCTCAATTCTTAGTTTATTCCTTCCTCCAGTGTATCTGATCTCTCGAAATAATGATAAATATATTACAATTTATATAAGAATTTGAATTGAAATCACTCACCTGATAGCTTAAAAGGATGGCAGTTGCAAGGTATGCAGTTCTGTGAAAGCTTTTGTTCCTCATCTGAATAGTATCAGTCAAAAGAATGAGAACAATAAAAGGTAGTGTGAGTGATGTTAGCGTTTAGACAAAGGTTTCCTGCTTCACTTGAATTGCATGAAAGAAATTTGATCCTACAGATAAAAAGTTGTAGAAGTGTGCATGACAAATCTTGTGAGAAAAGAGTGTACTAAGGAACAGAACAATCTTTAGTATTGGAAAACATGAAAAAGTGGATATGATGATCTTATGCTTCCAAAATCAGCCTCAGATTCACTTCCCTGCAACACCCGCCATTGACACCAACATGAGATTGTTGGCTCCAAACATCCCAAAAGCAGGTGTGAAACACACAAACGTGTGCCTCAACCAATGGAACAAGTTATTTTCAAGGATTTGCATTTAAAGTTTCAATTTTTCTTCTCAATTTTTTTTTTGGGCATTACACACATACGCTCTTACACTTTTGTTAAAAGAAATTAATCAGTGAGTGAAGAGAAAAAGTTGCTTGGTTTCAAAGCAAGTAAAAGATTGTGCTTTTTATAAATGATTTAGTTATAAAAAACAAGCCTATGAGGCTCCGTATTCATCATCCATAAGAGCATAAGATGGCCTTTCAAGAAATCAAGGCATCCAAAATTAGAATCCGTGTCACTTCTGATGATTCGGTCAAAAAAGATCAGAAAAATAATTAGATCTTATCTTATCATGCACCTTCTCCCCGATTGCATATAATTACTCCTTATTTTCGCAACAGAATTTAGACTTGTTTCATCCTCCGAATTATTTGTTATTTTTCACTTATTTTGCTTAATTTTTGTTATAAGAAATCGTTCAAATAAAATTTGAAAAAGGGCAAACGCTTGAATAAATTATACATTTTTATTTTTTTATATTGAAATTACACACATTCTTTTATCTATTTTCAAAACCACCGTAAATCTTCTCAAGTTTTTCTAATGTCATAGGAAATTTTTTGTTGAGTTTTTGTTAAATTTATATAGACTTTCATTTTATTTTCAAAGTATTCATAAAATTCTTTTAAAAATAAAAGCAATGCCTTTCAAATTTTAAGAAAATTCAAGAGAAGTTTGCACCCTTTTTTTGTGAAACACTAGGAACATGTCCTAATTAAATTTGCTTCATACGCATGAATGTTTCTTTCATACTCTCTCCCATTTATCTACCAAGGTAGGTAGTTTATGTGATTTTGACAAATTCTATGAGAAATCCCAATGATTTCTTCCACAAATTTTACTGAGATATTAGCAAAACTAGGCAGAATCTCATGTATGAGTCCTCATGTTGACCTTCATGAGTGATATGTGTTGCTATACATAACACATCACTAGACAAATTTTCTTAAGCATTTCACAAAATCTGAGTTAAATTGCATGTGCTCATGATTCATTCACAGCTTACGATAAATAGTATTACTTATTACGATGGAAGTGTTGCATAAGGTGGAGCAATTACTTAATTACATTTTGAGAGAATTAAACAAGTGGGAAGAAGCAGATACTCCGTACTGAGAAGATAAGCGTTTGAAATGAGTGAGAGAGAGAGAGAGAGAGAGAGAGAGAGAGAGAGAGAGAGAGAGAGAGAGAGAGAGTATGGATGCTGTATGTGGCAAATAGGCCTCGAAAAAAGATGAACTTTGAAGGAGAAGCCACCTTCTGGGTGTTCCCGTGGATGATGATACTAAGTGATATATTGAGGTAGGAAGCTAGGAATCTTAATTTTCTCGCTTAACAAAATATGGTGCCACTGAATTTGAACCCTATTCCTCTTTTTATATTATATGATATATCATATCTCTTCTAAACTTTGTTGTTACACAGAGCACATATATATCATCCCTATTCCTTTTTATTCTCTTGCTCTCCACTCTATCAACCAAATCTTGATTGCATATATATATATATATATATACATCTCAGAGAATAAATATTACATCATAATTTGTGTACGTGATTGATGTGATATTATTATCTATAGATGAAATGATCGAGGTTTATGCAATACTCTCTGTCAAATATTAAGGGTAACACTCCACTCTGTTCTTTCCTCTCTCTCTCTCTCTCTAAATAAAGAAAATTCATAACATAAAAGCAAACGAAAAGGACAATAACATTGTTGGAAGTCCAAGGTGATGAGAAGCTAAAATGCAAAAATAAAGCAGGGTAGAAATGTCATTTGTCACCACATCATTTCCATTGTGAATGTCATTTGCCACCACATCATTTCGATTGTGATAAACCTGATTTTTTATAATAAACTTCTTGTGAATGCAATTAAGCCTCAAGGAACAGCCTACTCATTCCTTCATTCTCATTTTTAAGACATTTGACGTAGTTTTTATTTGGCATGTACAAGATTTTATGTGCAATCCACTTAATTCTGAGTTCAAAGTATTTGTTGCACAATAATGGTGTTGTAGAAAATTACTTAAATTCACATAAATGATTAGTTAGGCTTAGTTAAAGTTGTTAGCCTAAATCAACAAATATTGGACCAGTTGATAAGAATTTACTCCATAGTCTAAAAGTTGTATGTGATATATTTCTACTACCAATATAAAAACTTTGTTGATGGGCTTTTTATAAGTGTGTGTGTATATACTCTTTTGAATTTAAATGCATGTATTGATTTTGGAGAGTTTTTAAAACCCAACTCACCTTCTATTATATAAAAAATTGTTGGATTGAATGATTCACATAAAGTTTAAATAACTTTGGTAATTAATAAGACTAGCTAGATTTTAGCTTAGGCATTAAGAACAGAATGAGATGTAGGTAGTGATGGATGAGGTCAAAATCGTCCGAGTATATATATATATATATATATAATTAAGAGATTACTAGTGTAATTACAAATAATGTGAGGATGGTATTAATTTGAGGATTGAACACATGAACAAATTGAACACTTCATCGTGGACATGAAATAAAACGAATATATGTGCTGTCGTGCTATAAAATTAAGTGTGTCCATCCAATCAAAGAGTGCTGTCGTACTTGAGTTTCATCTAAAATGATAGGCAACTGCACTTTGGATTCTCTCTATTCATGTAATTATTTTGAACATTCATTTGGCGCATTGCATGAAATATTACAAATTAAACAAGCATAGCACCATTTCTCATTCATAAATAGTGCAAATTCATTAAAGTTTTTGAGAAAAATAACATATTAATAATTTTATCTAACATGTGAAACATATTAATTAATGCGCATATATACTTAACTTTTCTAATGACATGAGGAACTATACTAATAGAAGGAATTTTTTTAAGTAAGTGGTTTCAATAAATTCAAATCTCAAACGTATGCATATAATAATTGAATTGAAAATGATTTATTTTTTATTCTCGATATCTTGAAAAAATTAGTCTACATGAAGCATGCTCTTTATGCCTTTTTTTTTTTTTTTGAAAAACAATTTCTTCAATTAAGAGGTGATTGGTTTAAGTAGTTGATGAAATTAAATTAACTTATCTTAAAGGTTTGAGTTTGAACTTTAAAATATGTAGTCACGTTACATAAACATATTAAAAGGATCCACAAGATACTCATGAGATAGCGATAGATCATAACAATTTCACACAATGAGATTTCAAGATAGTTTGGGACTAGAAAACTTGGCAATGAAATAAAAAAAAAAGAAACAATTTCTTCAAAATAAGGTTGATTAAAAAAGAAAAAAAAATTGGGTGGAGGGGGAGATATACATATGATGAATGTACTTATTTGCAGACTAGAAATGAAACAAAGGCATGTGGTAGATTCTGAGTCTATCACCGTAGGATGCGCCTTTTGCAACCAGCTTTAATTCACACAGGATCATCGAATAGTATTATGCACATGACCCCCTCTTTCTTCTCTCTATTGCTTTTCTCTTTCTATGTTTCTTGTTATTTCATATTTCTTTTTCCCTTGTTGGCTCTAATTTGCCCAGTTCCTCCATCAATTACTTTACTTTATTCTACCTGCAAAAATTCTTATTCTTTTTTATCTTAATTTTATTCACAATAATACACAAACATATATAATTCTCTCCCTCCCCCCCCCCCCAATCCCTATCCCTCTCTCTGTAGTTTACGTATATATACACAAAAAAACACACCTGACTATACTTAGGAGGTTTTTCTTTAAATTGTCAATACACTCTCATAGTAACTCAAGAATCAAGTTTTTTTTTTGATGTTTTTTAAAATTTGCATTCGCTAGATAATTATTTTGAAATGAATGAATCAGTCTTCTCATTGAATACCTAGTATTGACACATCAATTTTTTTTTGAAATTTGCACATAATTAAAATACCTAATTACTTTAAATTAAAATTGACTCAGAATAAAAATTGATCACCAACACAATTAATAGCTAGGCTAAAAATGATAAAAACAAAAATACGGCAACTAAATTTAGTTGCTTTCTGACCTTGTTTACGCGTTTACAGCTTCACCCAACTGCATAAAAAGGGACCAAAATTTGAAATTTTTTTGGAGACTTAGCCGTAGTCAATTTCCAAACATTGTGTGAATTTTTTTTAAAGCTTAAGTAATTATATGGCCCTGAGCCGAGATTAAGATTAAATTTAAGTGTACATCTTTTTAATTTCCCCTAGTTTTCTAAAAATATATATTTTAATTTGGCCTTTCTAATTTCAAATCAAATAATACAATAATTTTTAAAAAAATATTATTTAATTTTCTTTGTTTCGTAATTCATTAAATTGTCGACTGGATTTTGCCTTACAATACACAAGATAGTAATCTACATGTTTCCATTAGATTGTAAATTTGTAATTATCCTTTTAACATTTAAACGCTTATTAAAGAATAAAATAAGTCATGGCTTATGATGGATGATACAATTTCAATAAATTTTAATATTTAAAAAATTGACCTAAAAGTTTAGGAAATTACTTGATCAGAAAAGTAATAAAATATTTATTATTATACTAATAACTTTGATTGGTTTCAAATTAGGTGGGTTAATTAAGAATAGGATAGTGCAACTTGTTACTTAATTTATATTTTAGTTAAGGAATTGATTTAAAAAGTGAAATGAATTAAAATTCTAAGAAATTAGAAGGAACAAACGAAGTATTATTTACTTGTAAAAACCAATGATGTGTAAACACTTAAGAATGTACCAAAATTCCGTTGTTGAATTAAAAAGAAAAAAAACTAAATTAAATTAAAGACAGTTTAGTGAATAATCCAAGGTGCCTAATAAGCTATTTTTGTCATAGCCACTTGCCTCAACAACTTGGCTCAACCACACCCCACTAACACATTATTCTCCTATATTCCCCTTTTTCTCATTCCTATATATTACTTCAATCCTCTCAACAACACACGCACACAAGTACACATAACACACAAATTAAAACCCAAATCAATCTCTCTCTCTCTCTCTCTCTATATATATATATCTATCTATCTAGCTCTCTTTTGCTCTTCAATGGCTTCCATACCTCAGTTCTATTATTCAAACCAGACGCTCCCTTGTGATTACTCTGACTTCACCACTATGAATCCACTGAACGGAGTAAATTCCTCTGTTATGGAAGAAAACACAATGTGGGGTGATCATCATCACCGATATGGCTTGGTTCCTCTGCTAGATAACACCTTTGGTTCTGCTCTTGATCATGATGATCATACTGTGTCGTCCATCATGCATTTTTCTGACCCGTGGTTGCCAGCTTTGCCGGAGCACCGGTCCAGCATGTCGCCTTCGGACTTGGCCGTGCCGGAAGTCTCAGACCTCCAAACCCACCACGACGGCTTCTATGGCATTAATAGCAATAATAATGAGGGTTTTCATCAGAGCTTTAGCAGTGGATTATTATACCAGCAACCATATATCGGTGACTTTGGAGATGAATGCCGTGGCTCAGTGGAAGACGTGAAGCCTCTTGCTTGTCCTAAAACTTCTTCAAGAGATAATAACTGGGTATGCCTCATGAATGAGATCGATATATAATTAAGATTCATGATTGCAATATGTCTCTGAACTGATGATGAATTGATCTTGTGATACAGGGAATTCAAGGGAATCAAGTGGCGGCAGTTGATCGAGAGAACATTAAGGTTGGAAGATATTCGGAAGAAGAAAGGAAAGAAAGAATTCTGAGATATCTGAGGAAAAGAAACCAAAGGAACTTCAACAAGACAATCAAGGTCTCTCTTTAATCACTTTTCCCTCTCACGGAATATCACGTACTCCGAATTAGAATTTGTTCATTTCCCTTTTGTCCTTTCCGTGCGAATGGCAATTATTTAATTTCACACATTGACTGCTATATACAATCTCTCTCTCTCTCTCTCTATATATATATATATTCACAGTATGCTTGTCGGAAAACCCTAGCTGATCGGAGGGTCAGAGTCAGAGGAAGATTTGCCAGAAACAACGAGCTAAGTGAGGATGAAATGACAATGAAAAAGAATATTGAGAATCTTCAACAATACGACTTGTATGGTGGTGATTCCATCCAGTTCCAGGTAAATCTATATATATGATTTTCATTAATTACACTGTTAATATGGATTAATAAACTTAAATCAAATGGAATAAGAATCATAAAATACAACTTTTTCTACATCAATTAATTGGGGTTCTTTTTAACTTTTCTTTTCCTTTTTGAATTCTTTCAACTCCGGATCATTTTTAGTATTGAAAACAGATATACCTGCAACTACGATATATACTACAAAAAATATACCATGTTGCATCATATATGTATACAAGATCGTTTATTTATTTCAAGTTTGAATAATGAATATATCTTCCATGCATGTCTAGTATGTAACTCTTTTTTACGAATAATCTCTTGCAGTTGAAGAATGAGGAGGAGGATTGGCTGCAAGGAGCCATGGAAAGTCTGGTGTTTCTATCTCATTCTTCACCAGAAGATATATAATAATAGTAATAATATAGAGCTTAATTAATGGAGTTATACATGGACGTGGCTAGCTATAGCTAGATTCTAGAAGAATATGCGTGGGCTCTTCTGAAGTAAATGATTTGAAATTAGTGCAAGCTTAGTAAAATATTATGTATGCTAGTTTAGTTGGTTTTTTTTAATAGTTAAGGACGTAGGTGTAAGCTTTAATATTATTGCATGGCGGTGTAATTACTTCATACATAATCTCATCTTTAATTTTTAATCAAGGAATTTGATGGGTTTTTATAGTTTCACCTGATGATACTTGGGGTTGTTTGAATGATATAATATTCCCTTTTTTAAATGAATGTTATATATAATACACACATACTATATTCCATTTTGACGGAACTTTTTTCGGTGATTGATTAGACAGAAGTGTTCTAATTAACTATTGGCTAACTTTATACGGGCCACAATCTCATATACATATATATATATATATATTGATGTTATTAGTCATTGTGATGATTATTACTGAAAGCAACTAATCAGAAGTTTTAGTTCACATACAATTTTCTAGAAGCATACATGAAACTTCAGAATGAAATGTTTACTAACTATTCGATTTAGACCTTTTGTGATTAGTAATGAATTTCGTGCGGTTATTAGTGAGTGTTTTGTATAATTATATTGAGAAGATATTCATCGCAATATTTTGATGATAATCACTTATGACAACACATCATTTACTACATTGACAAAACAAAAATATTTCACAGGTTATAGGTTGAAAGAAAATCCACGGATTGCATTATATTGAATCTAAAACCGTTTAAGTGCGCTATTATAGAGATCAAACTCAATATTAATTAAATCCTTAATTACCATTTATTATCAAAAGTTATAATTATCACTTAATTAATTATATAGAGCAAAATATCAAGGGCCACTGTGCGCTATTCAACACAGAATTAAAGAATCTTAAATCTGCAAAGCGCAAACAACCTTTCCTGTTTAAAAAGTGAAAGATAGTTAAAAGACAACGAACAAGTTCTCTTTCCTTCAAAGAATATATGGGAATTTCATGTCTTTAAATTTGAGGAAGAGAAGATAAGAAAGTGGAGGTATTAATTCTTTTTTATTTTTTTGATAAAGGAAGTATTAATTCTTCTGATTGTGTTGAGAGCAAGCGAATGGAATAAATATATAAAAATATAATTTATAATTTAGGGTATGGCAAACAATCATTTTATTTATCGTTTCTATTTGTTATATATATAATATTAAATAATATACTCCGATTGGAACTGATGAAGGCTTATCCTAAGAATGTAAAAATGTTCTCGTACTTAGTTCATGATAAAGCTCCCAAAAAAGAAATTAAAATGTAAAATAAAATTAAAAAATATTATTCCCCCGAAGAAATTAATTCAATCTTCACTCATTAATCGTCAATGGCATAAATCATAATCAAACAATCTTTAATTTAGTTTCGTTTGAATTGCTTTTCTAAAATCAGGTCAAGAAATTTCTTCTATATATATACATGCAGCAGGATACTTTAGTTTTATTTTCTTGTTTACAAAACTTAAGAAGAATTTTTTAGTTTTCTTTTTTGATATCTTTAAACACTTCAATCAGATCATTGAGGATAACCTAAGAAAAATGTGAAAGTTTAATATAAATACAAATATTTCTTTCGATTTATGATTAATAAGCTAAAAATTGTTCTCAATTCTCCATTTACTAAAACAAAAGCCAATTTGATTTAGCATATAAAGATAATTAAATTTAAGAAAACAAATTGGGATTGTCAAGGTGCAGGACTCCAGGTCATAATTAGCGCTGCATGATTATTAACCATTCTATGGGCATGTTTAGTACAAAAAACGAAATGAAATGTAAAAGAAATTGTGAGTGAATGTGAATAATATCCCTCCCTCATCTTTGTACATAAAAAATAAAAAAATATTATTACAATGTTTAAAAAAAAGAAAGTATCTTTGTTTTGTGGTTATCAAAATAGCAGTAAATATCGTTGAGTCTGCATTGATCTAATGAGCAGAATCATAATCTGCTTGTGACTGTTCCAAAAATGGAACTTTATGGGACCCAAGCTGTGGAAGGATTGTTTTGTGATATAATGAATGAGGAAATATATAGATGTGGGGTACCATAATTTTCTGGGTATATATAATCGATCCCACATTGCTTTGGTTTAAAGTTCAAAACTATCAACTTCGTTTCCATTCCTAATAAGTGGTGTCGTTTTCCAACTTGTCATCTCCAATTCTCCAGTCATCACCCTCATCATGTTCTTCCCAGACTTTTATGCCCATTTTCATATATGACCTTTCATCATTCGTCTTGCTTAGATCCTTCTAATTATAATATATGAGGCGTCTCTGATGCAAGATCATATGCTGGTTGCACAGGAGATTTATGATCTATTAAGAATAATGAATTTATAATTTCACCTTAATTTTAAAATCCAAATTGTTGGGGCCTAGGAAAGCATTCAACATCAAGGACATCTTCTTGAACACTTTATAGATATATATATATATATATATAATTTAACTTTAATAGGATCATCAAACAGGTTTAACATATCATATCTCGACCCAAAGCCTTAATTAATATGTTAGTTTGTCATTTGTATTTTTTAGATCGATCCATATAATTACAATACATGTGTATCACTTATGTAAGAAAATGATAGATACATAGGAGATTTATGACCTGAGATTAATGATATATAGCAAAAGATAGATGTTGGGTTTACTTTCAACTTACCTTAATTTTGAAAGTGAAATCAATTGTCCTTTAAAGAAATTTCAAGCTCAAACTTTGTGGGATGCATGAAATGAGCTTCTCTCATTTGATATAATGTGGAAAGTCACCTAACTTATATTTCTTCTGTAAAAGAGGTTTGCATGCATTCAAATTACACTCTTAATACGTAATAAAGCACAACTAATGTAATTAAATATAATCAGCAGCTTCACATGTAATTAAAGTAAGATTTTGGTGCACACGCATGCATGCACGCGCATATACAATGTTATTTGTATACGTTTTAAATAAAGAGAGGATTGGAAAAAATAACAAAATAACATTAATGTGTAATAATGAGCAGATCCAAACTAGCTAGACAAGTTGGGGTAGATGCTGGACCAAAAAAAAAGGCACAAGTCAACCAGACAAGACAGCAAGTTTACTAAAGCTGTTTGATATATGTATGTATGTATGTATGTATGTAGTTCACGTGTTCGTGTTTAGAAATCAGAGCCCAGAATCAAGATCCATCAGGTAAGGCAAAACAAAATGGGTATCACAAGCAACCATTCTTACAATCGTAAGAATCCACTCGCATTAAAACACTCATCATTAATTGAAACATTTTCTCTCATTGTATATATAGACACACACACACACACACACACTACCTAGCTAGGTTGACCCCATTCTCTCCATGTTGATGCTTTCCCGTCATTCTGACTTTTTGATGTATGATTCGGCCTGCTATTATAATTTTCACATTGAAGTTGTTGTTTCTCATTAATAGAATTAACAATATTGTGAGGATTAACCAACATGAAACCAACAATATAAATTGTGATTCTGCATGACATTAAATCAACATGTTATGTTCCACTCCCGAAACCATGCATCATTATAACTTCATGACATTGAATCATGCCTCTGTCTTCTTAAAAAGTTTAGCTAAATTTCAGTCCCTCAAGCTTATCAAGATTTCACAATAAGGTTTGGTTTAAAAAGTGCTTATAAATTTATGGGATAATATAACTTTTAATTCATAAATTCTTTTTCATCCTTAAACATAACTTTGGTTTAGTACAATTAAATCATTATAGTTTATGAAGTTAAAAAATCATAGGAATTGGATTGTATAGAGTAAAAAAAAAAAAAATCATAGGAACTGCATTGTTCTAAGTTAAATTATAAGGATAGACTTATTGCAAGTCAAAGTTAAAAAAGTGAATCAATATTCGAGAACAAATTCAAAGACCAAATATTAGGATAATTAATTTATTTTAAGTTATTAAATTCTTGTGACATCTGAAATGCATGCATATCTAATAGGCAAATTTCCAATCAACATTAGACAACCGTACATGGTACTAATTAATTAAACTAAGACCCATGTATCTCAAGATTAAGGGCTTATAATTCTGTTAATATTGATTGCCCCTTCAAGTCAATGGAGAGCTATACATATCGTGCAGTGGGATCATGAAGAGCAGTAGAAATGATCCTGAATTTGAAACCATATAAACTGTGTTGCTGCTTAATTCTGTGTATATAGATCTAAGACTAAACCCCAACACACAAATTTGATCACACAGTGGTCGGTGAGAATGGTCATGTCATGCCTCCATTTGTGACTTACAGGAATGATAGGTGAAGAAAAGAGAGCCACGTATATGTTGAAGTGTGGTCCCATTGGATTTTTAGCTTATCTGGAACAGAACTTAACCACACCTTTGTCTAAATAATGGTTGACTACATCAGGATAGAAGTATGGGGGGCCAAAATTTCAATAAAAATTATCATATATGCTGATATTTTTTTAAAAAAATTAATATTTAGAATAAAAATTATATTAAAATACTTTTTAATATAAAAGATCATAAGATAAAAATCATTTAGGATTATATAATTTTTTTAAAAAATAAATTTAATTCATAGTACTTTTTATCCATATAACAGAAACTATAAAAATTTTACATGTTTGCTGTGCTTAAACTAATATTAACCTACGGTATAAGCAAGTTAAATAATAAAAAAATTTAAGTAATTACTCAATTTTTAAATAATAATTTATCAAGGAGAATTTTTTTCAAACAACTAGTAAAAACCTAACATATAAATATAAATGTCCCGTAGGATGTCTTTAAAATTATAAAGTATTTTTAATCAAATTACATTTTCCGATGAATTAGTTAATAATCATTAAAGTTACACATTTTTTTTAATGTCTATTCTCATTTAATAGGATATATTTGAAAAACCTTTATTAATTATACCTGAAAAAAAATACAAAATCACTTATATTTTTGGACATTTTATCTCATAAAAAAGTCAAGTATATATGATTAATTTTTGTTTAATATATAAATAAGAAATTATATGTATGAGAGGGATAGAGAGTAATTTTACTCCCTCCCAATTCCAGACTCACAGGCAAACGGCCCCCCCTCAAATCTCAATATAGACGTAGTTATATGCCCCAGGTTGACTAATTTCTCACTTTGTTTTATATGTTTTTTCAAGAAAGATATATATAGACACACATCATCAATCTCCATATGAAACAAGTACTTGGGTTGGGTGATCACTTGAAGCTAGGTATATATATTATGATTTTTTATTTATGGAGCTAATAGCACTGTGCTTTATGCTTCCCTACTCATACATGGCGGCATGCATATCAATGTTGCAATTATAGCATTTTCTGTGGAATGGTTCAAAACTACTGCACCTGACATGATCTATAATCCACACACTCCATTGCTTAATTATGCCCTCCTCAAACAAAAAATATTCTCATTTCTTTTTATTTGCTGTTTCACGTCAATATTCATCTTTATTTTTTAAGAAAACGTTTAGCTTATATATGACAAGTAAATTAGTATTATATATGAAGAAAGAACTGATATTTGTATCATGTTATATTATGACATGTCGTGAATTGTTAACTCATTAATCTGTATTTTACTTGTAGTTTATTCAGACTTCATTGCTTATTAATTCTTAATTCGAATGTTGATCATGAATGTGATTATTTTCCTCGAACACCGGCTTGTAAGGTCATTATTATACACAGTCCAAGTCAGCAAGTGAAATAACTCAAATCTCAAACTAGCTTAGCTCGACAAGGCTAACATGTTGAGTTTGATAAGAAGATTATCAGGGTCTTACGTACGTATTAAAATAAAATTTTTAAATCTTATTTCAAATTAATGGAAATTCATATCGATCTCACCTTATTAAAGATTATTCCTGTTCTAGAGAGATTTTTATAGCCATGTGTCTTAATTCAAGGGTCATATATATATATATATAATTGCCCGTACACTTTGCAATCTCAGCAATCTTGGGCCTCAATAATTGGACTATAATTTTACAGCTCGAGTTTTCACTCATTCTCCTCTCGTGGTCATTTTTTATTATTTTTTCTTTGTAGCCGGTAGAACTTTTTTTTTTTTTAAATTACTCACATGTATGCTTTTAATAGAATCAATCTTATTTAAGATACATATCAGGTATTAAATGTGGACATCAGTACAACTTTGTGTCAGATATTTTTCTCCAAAATAATGAGCTCAACGTGGGTTGGGTGATCCAAATAAGTTTAAAATGGGCTGCCTTTTGATGCAATCTTTGGGCTGCTTGATTTCTTGATTTGGATTTAGCTATGGGCTGAACCTCAGTCACCGAGTTAGGTCCATTTTCTGATTTTGGAAAAAGAGACATTAAATAAAAAATAAATGAATAATGCAGTAGCTAAATTCAAATATATTAGACGCCTTAACGACAAGTCTAAAAGGGATGCTGCATGCATGAAAACTTTAGGGGACAATTATGTCCTATTTGCTATTTTCCACCAAAAAAAATTAAAAATGACATTCTTTTGGTCTCTTACTCAACATTAGTTAATTATAATTAATTGCATAGCATTGTCCTATTATATGGTCCCAATGTCTTGTTTTAAACACCCTTTACGACTTTGGCTAATGAATGCCAAGCGCAATCTTTCTATAATCAACCGAGTTGATTCTCTGGGATTAGCTTCTTATTAAATTAACAACTACCCACCACAATAACATTATTTATTTATATCAATAATTTCACCTATTAAATTTTCACACAAAAAATAATTTTAATCAAATAACTATGATGGGCGGATTTGTCTTGGAATATTTGTGCTTTTGGTGCTTCCAGATATGTTGTGATGTTGTTTTCATGCTTTAATATAAATCATACTAAGTGGGGGCATATTTGAGATGGGCAGTTTTAACTACCAAAACTACTTTTGGAGCTCACGTACATTGGATTTTTTTATTGAAAATTTCCAATATTGGGGAAAAAACATATTTAAGAAACAAATATATGTTAGATGAGAGAGTTCAGCTTGAAGAAAATGAATATAATTTTACTTACATAAATATATTTAAGGAATCATCCACACTTTTCTTGACTGTATTTGTGTGCAATTCTTTAAATGTCTATTAATTGTATAGTTCCTAGTAAAAATATCGTCCATGAATGTTTTCCTAGATGTTTAAATAAGTTCATGCATCCACACTTTTAGCTAGTCCAACGAAAATTATATTTCTAAATTTTTCCATGGAGATCCATGCACGTGTTATAGTTAATTAATATTTAAGAAGTTTATCGTGATCAATATTTTAGTCATAAACTAAAATTTTAACACTGCGCGTGCACATATTTAATTGATCGATAAAGATACATTTTTAAAATTGATTTTTTTAAGACCCTAAAGTTAAGTTTGGCGTGATGTCTTCCTTTAAAAAATAAAAATAAAAATCAACTTGTATATTGTAAATTTATAACTAAATGTGTTTTTTTAATGATAATTGAGTTATGAATTAAAAGTATGACAATTTATAAAAGTTATAAATCATTCTTAAAAAATTTACAGCTAGTGTAAAAACGTGTTCATTTATAAGTAATTATAGATATAGATATACTCTATTAAAATTATTTTTTTGTAAATTTATAAATATCAAAATTTAATTTATAAATTGTTTATAAAGTTTTGTAAATTATAATTATACCCTTTTTAATATTTAAAGGACATATTTCACTGTGCTACTATTGACTTTAAATTAAAATGACCGGTATGTTTCAAGCAAAAAAATATTTAAGAGTAAAAATGTACTCCAACTCTTCTTAATTTGTAGACTTGAATGTGGGTGCATATGCCTCAACCCGAAGATGAATACACGATAAATAAGGTCAGCTGAAAAGTTATAATTAATAGGATTGTTTTAAGAAAAGAATTCATGCACAACCACGCATGATGCCCATAGTGCTTTTTTAATGAGCTGTATAATGCTTCAAATCATGTGACATTTGTAATAGGATCACCGATAATCAGTCATAATTATTAGGCAATTACACCATTCTTAGTATTTAAGGAAAATCTTAATGATGATCATTATGTGCAGTGGGGCTTCAAGTTGGCCACTCCGTGTAAATATCGTGAACTTCACAAATTTTGATTATTCATTATATTCTCTGCAACATCACCAAGCTGGCTTCCACCTTTTATCAATCGTGATGACAACCATCTTAATTTGTACACCTTGATCAAGCTACAAATGTTGTTAATCAATGCAAACATTGAAGGAAATAAATATAAATATGCTTCAAAACTAAATTAAACCACAATTTTGCAACATGCATGACCTTTTGAAATTAAGCCAAGGAAGGAAGAGATATATGTATATATATATATATACATGCAAACAGTCAACTTAGCACTAAAATCCATGTAGAAGATAACTCTTAATTACAAGTTTAGACATTTACATTAAGGTTAACTAATAAATCAGCAACAGCATCGAGAGAGGTATCCCTTAAAGTGATAGAAAGAGAAAAAGCAAAAGGAGGGAGTGACGAGGTAAACAAGAAAGCAAGCCCGTGATAGTAACAATAATCATAAGAAAATGAAAATTAAAAAAGAAACGTGCACGCCATATAAGCTGACAGGCTAATGAATGAGTAAAAGCCCAAAGCTATATGATCGATGTAACTAGCTACCTAGCACGACCACAAAGACTCGCCCACGTCCATGGCAAAAAAGGACTTGGCGCTGAGCCTGCTCGACGATGAAGGAGACGTATTGAAGTTACTGTGATGATGATCTGGCGATGACGTGGAAGGCACAGTCAGAGTTGTAGTTGGTGGTGGGGGTGAAGATGAAGAAGAGAAGTGACTGAGTGATCTCATGTGAACAACTTCGGCTTGAGCAATGGCGAGCTGGGTCTGAAGCAAGTCAACTTGGTGTTGCAGAGAAGAGATGGCTCCCACACAGCCATACACAGGGTCTCTCACTCTTGCGTTTGCTTCATATACCATTGAACTCACTGCATCACTGCGTTGGTGCTCTGGTAGTTCCTGCCATTCATCATTCACACATTAATGCTTGATTCAGTTCCTCAATTCTCTAATTAAGATGCAACATACCATATCAGCCAACACATACGCGCGCGCGATGTCATCACTCAGGATATCTAAATTCTTTCATCAGCTCATTTAATAATAATATAAATGAAGTGGTATTTTCGGTTTTGAAATTATTGAAGAGAATGTTTGTAAATGGTTATAATTAAAGAGCATATGCTGGGAATGAGGTGCGCATGTTTGGAAACGGGCGTAAAATTAAACTAAAATTTCATTCACAGTTCAAATTCATAGACCCTTCTAAAACTTTATTACATAATGCTTATTAAAATATAACTTTACCTAATGTAAAACTTTTCACATTGGTTCAAATCCACTCATACCTAATTATCCTAATAGCATATTTGAGTTTTTTCTATCCTTATTTTTAGTTCAGCAAGATGTGGGTATTATGTTCATTTCATTGCATAAACTTTAGCAACAAGCTGTACAGTATTATGAATATATATATATATATATATATCAACAATTTTTTCAAAAAAAAAGTCTCGACCATCTGTTTTGATGGGCCTATATCACATCATCCAACCGGAGTCTTAACATATATAGCATTATTTCATGACTAAATGAAGCAGATGACATTATATGGCTACATATAACATGTATAAATGAATGGTTGAAATCTTTTTCCATAGGATTGGACCAAAAACTCGCAAATTGTAATGAATTCATTTCTAGCTTGCTATGTCCTTATATATGTCTCCCTAATTAACAAAACAAAATTTTCAAAACAGAGAGGTGGAGGGCTATATATACTTTATCGCACCTTTAACTCCAACAAGTTACAAAAGGCTTTGGTATACAATAAAGAAGGGATATAATGACATTGAAGACTCTAAAAAGGAAGATTATTATAATAAGGACATTGAATATTGTATTGCAAAAGTACGGATATGGTATTGTTAAAAAATTAACCTTAACTTATTAAATTTTTGAAGAAATCTTAACAAAAAATATAAGTAATAACTTATATTTTATAACACAATATAAAATTGATAGATTTTTATTATAATAATTTTCTTTTTTAGGACTTTTAATGTCATCCTCCTAATAAAAACATGCTAAAGATAGATTATAATAATAATAATAATAAATCATAAACTTTCACCTCATTATGGTTGGTAGTAACTAAGTAATAACTTTAACACTGAGGACAAAACCTAGATCTGATCACACAAACACACACACACACACACACAAAAGGTCAAAAGATGAAAGTGAATTCAGGATGAGGCTATCTGCTTTCCTATTGTTGACCTAAACGCATAGACACAAAGCTTTTTGAAGCTTGATCAAGTGAGTGTAATAATTAAAAACCTTGAGATCCTTGCATGGGCACATACTATTAGACAAAGGGTCTCTCCTTAGTCAAAAAGGAGCTCTGCATTTTTTTAACAAGGTACTCAAGTTGGTTTTTGTTGGAGCCACAAAAGATATTAATTAATGCTTAGTTTGACTACAAATAACATGAAAACACTATCGAATCATTATCCTAACGTGCCTTAATCGGCTAGCTACCTAGTTATGAATGGTTCAATGGACTGGAGCAATATTAGACACACATCTTCATATATATATCTCTAACGTGGCCAAAAAGATAAGCCTCGCACATGCTAGCTAGAGACTTTAGTGTGAGACAAGAAAGTCTATTATCATTATTAGAAGGATTAAATATTAAACCCCTAAAGTGGATTGATTAACGAGACAAGCTAGAGGAAGCAACTCAAGTTTAATCTAATTTACCCATTCTTGTAAATAATTAGCCTTCACATGCAGAAGGATTTATCTGCTAATTCGATGTCTTATGAGATAAAAGAGACAGAAAATTAAGAATATTATAAGGTGGCCGTAAATTGTAATATGTCACCAAAGATGTCACGCTGATTAGAAAATAATGAAATTTCGATATGTTAATTATTTGCAAGATAAAACATCTTTATCTAGGGAATCAACGTCTCTTTTTTGGACATATTAAAAGCCGTCTCTATCAATGTAACCCCATGATTTTAAAGACACAAAAGAAAAGATGAAACATATCAATTATACTTTCTTTTTCTCTCTGAACTTGCATTGAAAAACATCAAGAGATCAGCCGAAGTCTGAATGAAAGATAATCCAAGTGATGGTCATAAAGGAAGAAGTTGAACAAATTGGAATATAATATAAAAAATAATTATACTTGAAGGCCTCACCATCTTTATTTATTTATTTATTTTTAACTTTATCGTCTTCACACTGAGAATGGCTGAACAAGTAGTAAAGCTGATTTGTACGTACGTGATTCTTTATGCTCTCTTTATATGTGCTGAGGAATCATTACGAGAAAGAGTAATGCTATAGGAACTTACTTTTAATAAAGGAGGATGAGAATTATATAATAATTAAAAATTTGGGTGGGACCATGATGCCTGCAACTGTAAATAACAACTATAACGGAAGTAAAGGTGGGAAAAAACAAAAGAGAGATGCCCTTTTTACTTTTCCTATATATAGAAGATGAATTTTTTTTCTTGTTGAAATATAATATAATATTTTTGAAAACTGATTTTTTTATCTCAATTTTTTATTTATTCTTTAATTTTTACAGTTTATTCAATTATTAATCATTTAAATATATGAATTAATTTCATTTTGTTATATATTTTTACTTTTCTGCCAGCATATATTCATATTTCTATAGGGTAACTATAGGATGACCACAATCACATCTATATACAAAAATTTTTAATTTAAATCAAAAGGTGCCCTTTTTATTTTTCTAAATATAGAAGATGAAAAATTTTTCTTGTTAAAATATAACATAATATTCTAGGAAAATAATGGTGTGTTTAATTTAAATAATTTTATTCAATTATTAATCATTTAAGTATATAAATTAGTAATTTCATTTTATTATATCTTTTTATTTTTTTTTTGTCATGCGTATTCATATATATTTCTAAGACAACCATAGCTAGCTAGGATGACCACAATCACAACATCTATATACAACATTTTTTTTAATAATTTAAGTCATAATTAAGGTCCAACATGCAGATTAGTTCAACCAATTATCATGATTCGTGAAAGATTAACTAACATGTCTATCAAGGAACTAGTTGGTACGGTAAAACAGCCAACTAGCTAGATATTTCAATAAAAAGACAGCTAGATGTTTTTAACAAACACCGCAATACATAAAGCTTATAAACTAAAGTTTCTATCAGGATCCGAAGTGGAATTATTATACTTTTAATGCATATTTAGAAATTTCATGCAAAGATGGTACATCTTGCATTGAATTGTACATTTAATTTAGAAACCGACCCCTCTCTTCTCGTAATGCAACTATGTAAGTGAAAACTCTCTCTGTTTAGATATAAATAATCTCAATTGATCAAACCCCTAATCTTGCAACTAATCAATGAGGTTTAGTCCAAAGGATCTCTATTAGTTTAGAACCGACGAATCTATTAGTTCAAATCACAATCAAAACTAAATTACAATAAGAAAAATTACATCCTCAGTTTGTAACTTCCTACCCAGAAAAGCCAGATCAAATGCATCGATGTGTTCCGAAGATCATCACTCTTCACAAATTATTCCCAGTTTTCTGGTTAATTACTCATCAAGAAACTCAATTTTACTCCAAATATGTATGAAAAGAAAGGATATATATCTTCCCTTCTTTTTTCTGTGAAAATGACTTGAGCAAATAAAATAATATTAAAGTAGTAACCTACTCTGATTTCATGAAAATGACAAATAATTAAATTATCTCATACGCGTGCACACACGATCATGATTGGGATGGAAAGAAATTAAATTAAGTGAAAAATAATTAATATTATTGAAGCATACCTGTAACATTTTGTTGACATTGCTAGCCCCAAAAACTTTATGAACACTTGCAAATTTCTGGGGTTCATCAGCAGGAAAATAAGGAGCAAACACACAATCATGTGCACATCTTCTTCGCAGAAGCTTGCAAGCTGCACATGGCGACATTGTGCCATGCTTTGATCTGCCACCACCCTCTTTCATTCTTCTTAATCAAGAAGAATCAATGAGTTCAATCTGTATATGATTAAGCAGTTTGATGATCAGATTGGTATATATAAATGTATATATGTAGAGATTTGCTTACATGAAACCCAGAAATACCAATTGGGTCAAGCTTGCTGGGGAAATGAAGAAGAAAGAGAAAGGCAAGAGAGAGAGAGAGGGTTTGAGGAGGAGGAGCCGTATGTGGTATTATATAGACGAAACGTATAAATGTTACGGCAAAATCTTTAAAGGGCCCCACAAAAGAAGAACCCTAGATTTTGCTGGAAAAAACATCGTTGTTGATAAGATCTTTGCCCCACCCTCATAATATTTGTTCTTGTCTAGGCGTATATTTTCTTTTTCTTTTTCCCCCTTTTTAATTACAATTAATTAATTGCTTATGCTTAGCTTTTTCACTCTTCATTCTCTATTCACTATTTTCTGTTTTCCCTTGTCTAGCTATTAAACATCGTCCATCAGTCCATGGCTTAAAGCAAATTAAACGGTTCGGAGGAAACAGTTGAAAAAGCTAATAGTTAATTTCTAGTTAATACATACACGCGTTTGAAAAGTTACTAGAGAGCAAATTGGAGGGTTTTGATCTGATGGGGTTGGAGACATCATATCTGTTTCATAGACAACTTGTTGATTGAAATATTCGTAATGTTAGCTACAGAAGGAAATGGTACAATTATATCGTACTGTCTTCCCCTAGCAACCAAGTACAGTTAATCTAAATTAAAGTGACATTTATTCTCACTTTTTCTCTGTTTCTCGGGATCTACGCAAGATTAAGATAGATATTTAATCAAGACCTGACAGAAATTGCACACCACAAGAGAAAAGCATGTCATGTCTAATTCGCCATGATGATGAGGATGAGCCTGCAAAATAAGATCTGAATGTGGAATTTAAAATATACATGAAATATATATATGTTTTTCCTCGCTAGGTACGTATGTGGTAATTTTATATGAAAAAGTGAAATCAATACGCAGGATACGATAAGTGCGGTTTGTTCTTTCAGCTCCAAAATGTCAACCTCATCTTTAATTACGTTATTTGATGTCAAAACGTGCTCGTGTTGTATAAGACAGCAATTGAGGAGTTTCGTCTAGTTGTCTAGCTAGTCTGTAGAGTCTATCCCTCTTTTTTATTCAATTTTTTTTCAGCCTTGAAGAGTTAAAATAGTAGAAAATTAGCGTTTATATAGAATCTTGATTCTTAACTTTCTCTTCTCAAAAGCCTACAGGACGGTGCGAAACTGATCTCCTTCGATGCCTCTCTCACTCACTTGGATTTGAATTCCATCTTATTCATGAATAACCATGATAGCGTTAAATTCAATTGGAAAATTTGTCAGTTTTTTTTTTTTGGGGGTGGAAATTGTCAATTTCTTTTAGCCCAATGACAGCAATCACATCACATCATTCACTTTAGTACTCCATCTCAAATGTAAGAGCCAGTTAAGGACTTATTTTCATCATGATACATGTAATACCTTAATTTCTCTATCTCTTATATTTGTTATAGTTTTTAAATTACTATTATAGTTAATTTTTTATATGATACATAAGCTATGTTGATAATACTTTAACGTAAATAAATAATAGGAGATATTTTAGGAAAGTCAGCACATATTTTTTAAAAACAACTTACATAATTTTCCATTATCCCGTGTAAATTTGTTAACTAGTTTCAAAATTTAGGACTGGAAGAAGTATTTTTATTTTTTTTTAAGTCGCATAGATGACATGACACGGGTCACGGGATCGATGTCACTGAATTCGAATGGACAAAATTGAAAATTGTTGCAATCGTATTGATCTTAAAAGTCATAGAATGCACATTGACATGTATATCGATTTGAATGAGAAGCAATAATGAAGCAATTAGCCTATATATATATATATATATATATTGATAACTATTGATTTTTGGACATTTATAAAAAAACAAGGTAACTCATTTCTTGAGATAACAAGTCAAAACGCTTCTCAATTAACTGTGAGTAGTTTGAACTTTTTGATCCAAAATTGGCTAGTTGTCACCAAATTTAGAATATACTATGAAGAAACTGGTGAAATTGAACACAAAAAACTAGTGCGCACTTTGCGTTTACCAAATATACTATATCTACAGTAAGTATTGGTATTTTGCAGCAGAACTTTGAGAGACTTTCAACCATTGAGGTTCCACGTTTAATGCCTTCATGACTAATTAGAAGATTTGAACGTGCAATAGGCTGATAGCAGAAAACAAAACAATCGTGTGCGTGCGCGTGTGCGTGTGCGTGCGTGCGAGAGAGAAAAAGAGAGGTACGTGCACCGAAGAAAGGACCAACATGTGTATTGCTTACATGTGTACTACCAAATAGTCATACATATTGTGAGTGGATGCAAAAAGGAATTTAGTGGGGCAGCAGCAAATTTTTTTAAAAAAATAGTATAATTTTGTTTATGAAAAATGTAGAAATAGTTCTCCACATTCAGATAAAATTTTAGTTATGGCCCTTCTCATGGGATGATTCCTTGATTCGTCCTGAGTGGATGATTTTGATGACACGTAATATATTGACAATGACAGATTTGAATGTTTAAACCTTAGTTTTCAAGTAGAAAATAGTTTACGGCCGCCTAATAATTAATCTTAACCACATGATACGTGGCCCGTTATCAAGACACTACAATTATTTATTTTTGTTTGAAATTTTTGGGTTGAATTCAGGTACAGAGAAATAAATGAATCCGGTCTAGCTAGCGATAAACATAGAATCAAGGAAGATGAAGATGAGTATTAAATTAGTTACTTCTTTTTAGATGTTAGTCTTTTTTTTTTTTCTAGTGCACCTTTGTATACTATATATTATATACAGCAGTATATATCACAAGAATGCACTGTCTTAATTAATTAAGAGTAAATGATGTTCAATTAGATGGTTTAAATTTTATTATCTTTTTACTTAAATTCTATTTTTTATTTTGAAGAAAATATTATGCAGTGTAATTATAATGTTTTAGATATCAACAGTGATGGAAACAGTCTAATAAAATAATGACTTAAATTAAATATGAAAAACAACGTCGAAATCAAATATCAACGGCTTAGATGGGGGAAAAAGCATCACCTATTTCCTCAAGAAAGTGTATCCATATTTGTTACGTGTAAAGGGTATATGAGTTTATGAGCATATGGGCATGATAAATACATATATAGTGTATATTTAATCTGAAGATGGAGATCAAAATCACCTATATATATGTATTGTTCTAATTAAATGTTTTACATACCGTCAAACGTGGGATTAAGTTGAGGGAAACAATATTGAGCATGACAAGTTTTTTAAACTTCATTTGTCTTACTTTATGTAGCTTCCTTGGATACTTAAGCTACGTTGTGTCTAGCTAGCTTTCACCAATGTTATTATTTTATGCGCTCGAGAATTTTCCCGTGTCCCATTATGAGATTCTGTGACACAAGCTTTTTCATGCAGAGACACAGAAATTCTCTGTCACGCAAGAAATTTAAAAAAAAAATAAAAGAAAAGAATTAGGAAAAATTATGGGAGCCTGACAAGAGAAGAATCAAATTTTTGCAAGTGTGAGACATGCACTAAGGTCCGATTACAGGAAAATATTGCCAAAGATATGTTTCAATTTTGCGTGGTGATATCACTGATATGAAGTGACTCTTTAAGGGGCAAGTTACATCATTGAGAGTAAGTGCCTGCTAATCTTCACACTAATTGTGTAATTAATTTATATTTAATTTATTTAATTAATTCCAACGCCATCATCCACTAACCAATACCAAATTAAAGAGTCTCTCTCAGTGGTTAAAAGTTTATAATAATTAATAAATGCTATGCACATGCAACACATAATCCTGAGAGAAAATTTTCCTGAGGTTGATGGAATCTTAAGAAAACCTTCTCTCTTTATCACACCAAGAGTTAATTAACCTAGTAATTGAATTTGTTGACTTTATCAACCAAGACTTCAAGCTGGCTTCTTCCCAAATTTAATATTAATAATTATTACCCAATCAAATTCTCCATCGCTTGTCATGATGTGTGTGTGTGAATATATGATAGTGACATTTAAGAGACAATAGTTGTTTTAAGTCTATACAAGAAAAAGGAGTATTCCCACAATTTCGTATAAGAAATTAATAATATACCCCGCTTTGCTAAATTTGATTTCTTTCAAAATCAAATTCGATTGCTGATATTAATTCAACCGACAGACTAGACTTTGGTCCAATTCAAAGCGCTTCCAAAAATTGATCGAATTAAAAGCTGATCAAGAACTAATAAAATTGTTTAGAAATAATTTCAGACAAGATTCAATTATAGTTACCGATTCGATGGTCAGCTGATGAATCTTGATATATAAATCAATATTTTTGCTGGTGAAGATGAACGATGTTAGGTTTTTCCAGGTACAAGTAGACTTGAGATGATGCAAAAAGTCCCATATTAAATAAATTTGAGCTTAATAATTAATAACCACTACCTCTATCCCAATTAATAATATATTCTTAGGAAAAATTTGATATTTTGACAAAAATTATGTTTCATAAATAATATTTTTTAATATTACCATTCTCATTATATTCTCTCTCTCTCTCTGATATTTTTCATAGACATTTTGTAAGTTTATATTTTTGTCTTAAAAAAATAAGATTGAATATAATATTAATATTTTGAGTTAAGATATAGTATCTATACTATCACTCTTTTGCCCATTTTTTTTCCTTCTCTCCTCGCATTTCTACTTGCTTGCCCGAGCTCTGATTGCACACGCATCTAAAACCCAATGCTAATTGTAGTTGCAATAGATATTTGGTGTTTTTGATGTCTTTCAATATGAAGAACTTATTGTTAAAATATTTAAGTGTAAATAGACTTGAGTTGTTGCAGGAAATTTCATATTAAATAAGGTATAGCTTAACAACTAATATATAATAAAAGAATATTCTTCTATTATTATTGCTTATTTGTTCTCTCCTCCGGGTTTTTGCCATCATGAATTTGATTTTATGAACATTGTTACCAAATTATTAGCTACAACATGAGAGGAGAGAGAAACGTATAAGATTATAGGACATTTGAGTGATTATGAACTTGTAACTGTTAGGGTTTGGAAAAATATTTCGAATGATGTTACGCTCAAGGTATCATTATTTGAAATGATATATATGCCAGGCCAAGGGCTCATGTGGATGCATGCCCGTCACAATTAAGATTATAAATATTTAGTTTATGGGAAATGGAAAATTAATATCTGGTTCTGATGAAGATTGATTATATCATCACTTTATTACGTACAAGTGTTTCAATAATCATGATGCTAATAACAATGATAATTATAATTATGGACTTGTTACTTAACAGTTTTTCAACCACTCCTTTTAGATCTTCTGGTTGTTACACTAGGGATGATCAATTATAAATTTGATAGATTTGATATTATTTCGATATGTATACTTTATTTTCTTGTCGGTGCTTCATCTCTCATATTTTACAGAAAATAAATAGCTGGCAACGAACCCATCCATTTGATTGATAATTCAGATTAAGACTTCAAAAATAATAGTGATTTATTATTAGGGAGAATGACAGTTAAGTCTCAAAATATTAAATTAATGATAGTTAAATTCAAGAAAAATTTTTCTAAAAAAAAAAAAGAGTAACATTTATCATTTCAAACAATTACAAATAGAAATCCAAGATACAATCACCAGTTGCATTTAAAATTTAAATATCCTATATATTATCTACAATTGAAACTCCTTAATCTATAATTATTTGAATTGATATTTATTAAGATCTAACTCAATCATTAATTTAAAATTTTGTGACCTAACTATCATTTTCCCTTGTTGGGTTAAAAAAAAACTATCATTCTCCCTCATTATTAAACACAAGAAAGGTTAAGGAAGAAGCCCATTGTTTTTTATTCCAACTATTCTGGTAAATGGTAATTTTATTTATAATATCCCAACAGGTCGATCAATCTTTTATGATTTAATGATTTATTCTTTTTTCAAGTTCGCGTGCTTAAAGTTTTTTAGTTAATTGTGTAATGATAGAATTTTGAATTTACGATGAATTCCAGGTAATTAACTTCATCAAATTATTGATGGAATGATGACAAAATAAATTTTGTTTTGGATACATATGCCCATCACACACACACATTTTTTCTGGGTCAAATAACAAAAAAGCTTGTTGGAAATTGACATACACACGCTATTGTATGAATTAATTAACACGTATTTGACTCACACTAGTTATACATGTCTCTTTGAAATCGCATTAAGCATTTTTGGAAGTCTTTATAGAACAATAGAAACCCTTGACTTGTCATCATACATGCCAAAATAAATATGTCAAATTAATATACGCTCAGCTATATATAGCTAGGTTTCTTCTTTATCCGAAGAAAATACCAAGGTTGTTATTTTCTCTGTTTTGCAATAGACCATTTCTCTGTTTTTCAATACACGTATTTATCTATCTATGGCAATTAGAACATACTCACCAATATTAACCATCATTGAAATAGTAAAATCATAAGATTTGAATTGAATCAAAATGAAACGACCAAAAATCACCCAAGAAAATGGTTCATTTCATTCCACTAATCTAGTGAAAAAACTTGAGACAACCCAGTACCATTATACAACTTTAGAAAGAAGCAAGCGCGCGCGCACACATATATGGAATTATGAGAGAGAGAATAAATAATTAGAAAGAATATATGTGGAGAGGAGCATGAAGATGATAATCAGATGCTAAGGCAGGCTTGTCTGTGGGTGAGAGATTAAGGGAAAAGTGGTAGCAATTGAAGTGACATTATCCGCCGAAAGCTTCGTAATTGTATGAACTCTTAATGATCAAATTCATTGCAACGCTCACTCATATTACTGTACTGTTCTTTCAGAATCAGCGTTTTCATGTAAGGAGAGAAGTTGCTCTCACTAGCCTCCCTATGTATTTTGCACATGGTACACTACAAAACCCTACCTAGCTCTCTAGCTACGTCAAAAAAAAAAAAAAGATAAAACGTAAAACAATAGAGAGGAAGATTCAAGACCCTCATTTATATTCATGATAATTTGGATTTTTCTTTATATGTTACAAGGGATTTTATAAAATCTTGACGAGTATCAAAGAATATGAAGAAAATTATAAGAAGCATTGATGATAATTTATTCTTATTTTTTTGATCTTATTTATAAATTATTTTTAATATAATTTCACCAATATCAAAAAAAATTTCAAACTTCACTAACTTTACTTAATAATTTAATAAGTTTTTAACTTTAATTTTATTAAATATATATATATATATATATTTCAATAATATATTTTTCTTTTCAATATTCAATGGATGGTATTTGTATTGAAAATTTAATGATATAATTTATAAATAAAATAAAAAAAATCTTCTATTTCTGCCTTATAAATAGGGTCGAAAGGAGAATGATTTAAAATTAAGCATTAGTTTTATTTGAAGTAGTTAGATTATAGAAACTCATCAAGTTATTGTAGGTTATAGAGACTCATCATAAACCACAACCCTTATGTAAACAATAAATTAATTGGAAAGGAGGCTATAACTGAAATTTTATTTAAAAGTGAAGAGACTAAAAATGATTTCAGTATTTTTTATAAACAAATACTCACCTATTTAAAAAAGAAATTTTGAAACATTATGGGGGCCAGCCCCTTGACTCGGCAGTGCTTAGAGGAGATAATTTTTATTATCGGTGGAGTTTACTCCTTTATACTAAAAAAAATAGTTAAATTATCATAAGTTTTTAACGGTTATTTTTATTCCACGAAGAGACAACATAATAGATCTGTCTATTTTAGATAAAGATAATGACAAGAGACATCAAGGGTTAATCTTTTTTTTTTTTTTGTGGGGAAGAGTTAATCATAATGCAATTGAAATTTCCAACGAGGGACCTCAAACCTTAAATGACAAATTAAGATTGAAAAGTCATCATTAGTGTGTGGTCCAATAATGTTCTTCCAGAGTCTATAACATGCCCTATTTTTGTTCACACACACATCTCCTAGCTAGCTTCCTTCGAACCGCATTCAAATCAAAAATACTACCTATGGGAGAATTTCTTCATATGTGTACGCGTCAAATTAGAGTTATTATGTAATAAACATTCTACAAATAGACAAAATTCAACGCGGTTTAGGAAATTGCCCATTTGTAGCATTTCTCTTATGTTTGGCAGCATCACGTGGGAGTCCTATCATCTTGGGGAAATAAAAATGCATAAAGTCTAATGACAAGTTAGAAATGTTGATTTAGTGGTATTTATAAATATATAAAAATTATGTCGAAAGTATATTTTGAAGTGTTATTAATTTTATCTGGGTTTCATTAGATTGTTGGGAAATTACTTTATTGGTTTTATATAGACTATAGAGTCTGTCAAATTTTAATTCAATTTAATAATTTAAATAATTTGAGATTAGATTTCTGTGCTCTACAACTTCAAAATTATTCAATATGTAACTGTTCATCAATTATTCAATTTACGAACATATTCAATCATATACTATGTCGACATTTTCATTAATATATATGATTTGTGTTAACCACTTTAATCTAATCAAATATAATTAAGTAAATTCACTTCAGCATATATCTGGAGTGCGAAAATAATACAAATAACTAATTATGCTAATAAAATTTAACAACTAGAGATTTGATGTGAGGGACCAAGATGAATAATGATAGAAAAAGTTAATGATGTAAAGATGCGCGAGGTGGGATTATGCTGAATTGATCAGTCAATTTTATTAGCTTAAACTACAGGAGGGATCACACAAATTAATGAGATGTAAAAGTCAAAAGGAAAAAAATAATGAGGATTAAATTAACTTGGGATAATTTTAAGCCGTTGATATATGAAGCTATTCATGCTTCATCTTTTCTTAAGGGGTACGTTGCTCCCTACTGTATTTAATTTGTCTTATTGGACCTCCATGTGTATGGACGATGGACTTGAATTTGGAATCTGAAAAAGCTGATTTTGTTGGGTGGGCGAAGTGTTACGAAATAATATTAAATTCCTATTTATGTGCACTTGTTTTTCCATACTGCCCTCCATGTGCAAATTCCGGGTTTAATTGGTTAAGCATGTTAAAATTGCCAATTGTCACATCAGATATTTGATCATTACAGAGTTGAAAATGATTCTCGTTCTGCAAAAAACTGGGTTTACACTAGGACTTTTAATCTTACCCAAAAACGTTGTGTGAATGAAAAAGGGATTCTTCAACGATAGTTTATCTTATTGGCTTAAAAATTTTCACAATTAATAATGTCAACACATTTTTCAACTGCATAATTTCTTTTAGCAGCTGGGCATATATTTTGAGAAACTGGACCGAAAGGCTGAAACATGATGCAACAACGTCCAGATGACCTAATGCATCAGGCCTACTCCCATTCCTATTCACCTTCTAGCTTCTTCTCTTTGGTGAAGGCTTGGGCTTGACTTCTGTTTCTTTTCTTATGGTTAACCAAAGCATTTCAATACCAAAAACTAAAAAGTACTCATCTCAGCATTTTAATACCAAAGCATTGGTATGTTGCTGGACTAGGACACATCAGAGGAATGGAGTTTAGTTACACTTAGTGAATATTCCAATTCCCTGCTGGCAACGAAAAGCAAGCAAAGCAAAAAAAAAAAAAAAAAGAATATTCCAACTCCATGTAACATGAATATGGCTGTGAAATGTCATGACTCCAACATTTATCCGAAAGAACAGCTCCTATATTACACACTATTTCTATGCAAGAACTAACGCAATAAACAACCTAAATGGAATGTCAGCATTGCAGTGAAACTGTGACTATATCGGTATTCAGTAGCATATCAATAATTGATACCCAAAAAAAAACCATGACAGTAGCATATACAAGTCTGGACTCAACCAATTACTACTCAAGTTTATGACGTATTTAGTCAATAGATTTACTTCTGCTAACACCTAATCACAAAGTGGATAAATACTTGCATATCCAGATCAGTTATTATGCAGATTTGGTATATTGATTTGATCCTTGTCTTGGAAAAAACGGTTAGCCTGAGGATGGAATCAAGCTAGCAATGTCAATAGAGGTACAATCCGTGATTCCAAGCAGAGCAAGGAAATAGAAAGATGGACTCTAAGCTGCTCTGTCATATAAGTAACAAGTGGATCATAAGTTGTAACTCACAACTGATTGATTCAATTTTTTTTTTTTCCATGGAAGTATAGGCAAACAGGTCGCTATGCTAATGTCTTCAAACATTGTATAGAGAAATGGTTATTCAATCTCAATCTGCTGAGGAGCTGCCTCAGTTTTTGACCTTTCGGTATCAACTTCATCTTCACTGATACCAGCAGCTTCAACAGTCCTTGTAACCCATTCCTTGAGAGGCTCTTCTTCCAGATCTAGTCTCAGGATACCCGCAAAAATGCCACCCATGAAGGCTACTGGTTCCTGCAGAGACAGCAATTCATTACTGATCAAGATTGGGAGAACACTTACAAAATTTGGAAAGGCATTTTAATACAAGTATTTTCATGATTAATTGAGTCTTATTTATCTTTTATACACCATATCCACCTTCTCCATTCCCAATTCATTTCAAACAACTTGAAAAGGTACCTTCTATCTAAATTGTCAGCAAATGTTATGAAGTAATTATGACGTCATTCACACAGGGCTCGCATTTTCAAATATAAAGCCTTGGCCATCTGGTGACCCAGTGTGAGGCCTTCATCTAGAAGAGAAAACTATCAATATATTCCTATCATTTGAACCACGGAGAGGATGAAAAATTCTTCATCACGTGATATTTCTGATGCATCCATTACGGCAACCATAATATTATCAAATGCAAGTATGCTTCCTAAAATTCAGCAAATTCTGCTTTCACAACGAAGCTGAGCCAGAGTTTCTTGGTTTTTTTTCTTTTGGTGTCCCATTTTCTCTATTAAATCAGAATTAAAGTAGCACTGGCCAGATTCCATAGTTTTATTTATTTTTTAAAATTTTGCACTAAACCCAGCAGTACACGAGCTACTCTCAGGTATGTATCAGTTTTAATCATCATATTTTGGTTCAACATTGGCTTCAATCCCCACAGGTTAGGCCAGACTTATCCAAATTCCTTCCTGCTCACAAATATATTTACAATTCCATTGAAGTTTCTCATTCTTAGCAACCTCATCAATGGTCCAATTACAAATAACAGAAAGCATTGAAGTTGCAGAGTCTTTCAAAGAGGAGAAACAGCAGTGGAGGATTAATGTTTTAAGACAGTAATTTGTTCGGTGGTAATGCTTGATGGATTTTTAAAATGCATTCAGAAAGAACATAAATGTTTTACAGCAACGCATGCGAGAACATGAACTGCTTCCAATGAAATGCCAAAGTAGGCTTTGATTAGACTATTACAGAAAGAACATACCACTCAAAGTTAACTTAGATGAGATGGAGCCTCAAAAATGAACCCTCTACATGAACTGTTATACCAGACACCAGTATCAGAACCATCCAGTGAGAGAAAAATTGGAATTTTCCAAATCTAAACTTATAATTAATGAGGACTCATCACTCAGAAAGATTTTACCTCCCAACAGCAAGTTTAAAGAATAAATAAGCTAACCGCTTATCCAGCAGTAATCCTTATCCACCAATATAAAAGGTAAATCAAACTCAATCAAAGCCGTTTCTAATTTATTTTTCATGCAAAATATAAGCAAATATACTGGAGAGTATATTAACTGACACAAATGGGAATTCGAATTAAACAAAAGAAACATCGTTGGGGGAAGAAATTATACCTTGACAGCTTCTTTGAGAATGGGGTCTTCAAAAGGATTGAATAACAACGCTCGAACCCCACTTTTATGAGAATGAGCACCGGTAAAACCAAATTGAGAACAATTGCTTTTGCTTATACCTTTCCATCGCCCCGAGAATGATGAAGGGCTCAACCGTACATCCTTCCATTTCCACTGTCCAATCAAACAAAGAAATAGGCTGAATTTCAGAGAGAGAGAGAGAGAGAGAGATAAAGGAAAATGAAGAAAAAGGAAAAGTAAAACTGTAAAAGCATGAAGAATAATGATACCGAAGTAGAGGAGATAGGAGAATGAGAAAGAAGAGACATAGGGGAGATAATGGGAGAAAAGCGAGGGTAGATGATTGTCAATAGAATCGGAATATAAACGGTGCTCTGCAGCAGCAACTTCTGCGTTTCCCTCTATTCCCAAAATCGAAGAAAACAGAAGTGGAATGGCCAGGAGTTAAACGGTGCGTTTTGAGCAATGCAGCGCTGAAGCACTGGACGCGTGGCCCATCTTATGACATTAATTAATTAATTAAATTAGCGGTTGAGGTGGGCTGAAAAAAATAAAATCTGAACATTATTTAAAGAATTATCTTTTCTTAAACGATACGCTCCATAAATAATTTCAAGAATATGAGTTTATTTACTAACCGACAAAAAAAAAACAAGGCTGAGTTTATCTAAGAGAAAAAAATTTAGAGTTAAATAATAAATTTGTTCTTAAATTATAAGTTCAAGAATATTTAAAATTTTAAAATTATTTTTTATATAATATTTTTTTTCAATTTTTAAAAATAAAATAATATTGCTATTATCATTAATAAATGTTACTTTGATAGTTAGTTGATAAAGAATTTGCTATAAAAATAATTTTAAAAATTATGAAAAAGGATTAAAAAAATTTTTTACTGATATATTTCTTTTACTCAACCTAATTACTATTATTTTTTTATAATAAAAAATTTATGGGAATTTACTGATGAGTCCGAAGACTTAACATGCCAGGGCATAATTCCTGTTAGTTACGTTCAGTTTATTTGGACACCATCTAAATATTTCCGCTTGCTTTCTTCAATGCCCTGAATCTTGCCTTCGTACACCCCTTCTCTCTCTCATTTGTTATTCCCTCTCACATAACAAAACCTCGGTACAAAAATGAAATGAAAAATTAGTTGGGAAGATTGGTAAAAAGGACCTTATTGAAAGTAAAATTAGTTTCAAGGACCAAATGTAATATTTTATTCATTACAAAATATGTACAAATGATCAAAATATCCTCTCTTTAAAACAAAGAAATTGTAAAAAAAAAAAAAACAAAGGCTACCTGTTCAACACATACGTCCCAAGTTACAAGCTTTACACCTGCTTGCACCTAACCTAGAAGTCTTATACCCAAACAATAAATCTTGTATCTCAAGTCAAAAGCCTTGTACCGTAAGTCAAAAGCCTTATATCCCAACTAAAAGCCTTACATCAAAGCCGGAAACCTTGCACCCAAAATCAAAAGCCTTGCACTCCAATCCAAAAGCCTTGCACCCCAACCCAAAAGCCTTTCACTAGATTTAGAAGCTTTGCACCCCAAGTTAGAAGCCTTATATCATACTCAGAAGCCTTGCACCCTATTCCAAACACCTTACACCCAACCTAAACGCCTTTTGTCCTAAGTCAGAAGTCTTGCACCCTAACCCAAAGGCTTTGCATCTAAGCCAACCCAAGCCAAAAGCCTTGCACCCAAGCAAGACGCCTTGTACCCCGCCCCAAACACCTTGCACCCAACCCAAACACCTTACACCCTACCCTAGAAGCCTTGCACCCATCCTAGACATCTTATATCTCAAGCCAAACACTTTATATCCAATCTAAAAGTCTTGCACCCTAACCCAGAAGCCTTGCACTTTAAGTTGGGGTACAAGGCTTTTGACTTTGGTGCAAGGCATTTAGCTTGGGGTGCAAGGCCTTTAGGTTGGGTGCAAGGCTTTTGGGGTGGGATGCAAAGTTTCTGACTTGGATGTAAGGTATTTTGCTTGGGTGCAAGGCTTATAAGTTGGAGTGGAAGGCTTTTGACTTGAGGTGCAAGGTTTATGGATTGGGTGTAAAGCTTCTGAGTTAAGTGCAAGGCATCTAACTTGGAGTACAAGGCGTTTGGGTTAGGTGTAAGACTTTTGGGGTGTGGTGCAACATTAAACATATTATTCTATCCAAAAAAAAAACATATTATAATAAATATTATTCTTGGCCAGAATATTATAACAAATATTTCATGCATATCTTAATTTTTTCTGAAAAAATATTCCTTACATTAGAACGAATTGAAAAAAAAATCATATCTTAATTTTTTTTCTGAAAAAATATATTCCTTACATTAGAACGAATTGAAAAAAATGAACATATAAATAAGATAGCATTAAACAATAATAACATCTCTTAATTCAAGTGATGATCATTTTTTAAATAAAAAATGTTAAAAAAATAATCCATATCTATATATGGGCATATTTTAATAATTACCTGATTGGTGCGGCTGACTGGAGATGAGACAAATAAAATAATAACAAATCAATTTCTGGGGACATGAATCCTTGAAGCAGCTTGAGATGGATAAAGTGAGGACAGTGCTGATCATATTCCTAAATCCATATTCAAATATTAACTGGTTCTGTACATAAGCATTAAAATTTGAATCCCCACCAACCCAACCAAGAAATCCCAGTAATAAATAGCACTGTCCACGGATATCATCACAACCTGCATGCCCCCTCAATTCTCCATCTCAAATCCTTCTTCCAAGAGTTCGACGTCTGAGTCTGCAAGCCCACTGTACGACTTCGTGTTGAGGGATGGAAACGGACTGAAAGGCTTGGTAGAATGAGGCATATCACAAGTACCAGAGAGATACATACAGCCTCCTCAAGAGCGAATCAATGTCTCAACCCCAAAACTTCAAGTCCCACCCATTGATCTGCCAAAGCTCAACGGTTCTGAACATGAGCAGGTGGTGGCTGACATGGCCGGAGCCGCCGAGATCCTGGAGTTCTTCCAGGTGGTCAGCCACTGGGTGCCCCCGTGGAGCTGCTGGAAGAGCTCAAGGAGGCCGCACACAAGTTCTACAGCATGCCGCGGGAGGAGGAGGAGGAGAAGACGGCGTGCCAAGGAGGAGGGACGACGTACGTCAAGTACGGCACGAGCTTTGCGCCGGAGAAAGAGAAGGCCCTGCAATGGAAGGACTGTTTTAGCATGGGCAGTAGTACAGACGAAGCTGCTCTTCAAAGGGCTGATCGGTGCAAGTGCATGATTTATATTTTATTTGCAGGTGAATGTACAAACCTACCCATGAAAAATTTTGCGATGATCTATTAGTATCTTAACCAAAGTGCGGTGAAAATTTATCAATGAAACGTGAAAAAGCAATGCAAAAATCATCAATATGTAACAGAAGTCATATGCCTGTTAAGTAAGGAATATTGTGAGTCTTTCCTATGTCATGTGAAAATGGATTAGGTTAAAAAAAAATATAATATATAATATAGCGCAATTTTGCCCCTCAATTCTAAAAAGGGTATAAAAGTCCCCTGCAACGATACATGCTATCAAGTATTGAACGCAAATGTCAAACACATTGATATTTTATTTGAGTCGAAATGCAGGCATAAAAATACATAGGTTCGAATTTGTTCTCTCTCCTCCTAGTTGCGAAGTGTAACAAAATAGAATATCGTACTTAACATTTGTGTTAGTTAGGATAAATTTAAATACATGTATTTTTTCATTCACACTTTAGATCAAATAAAATTTTAATTATTTGACATTCACTATCAGCATTCGCCAACATATGCCTTTGTTTTAGATTGAAAAATTTCGCACCATTCTTCAGATTTTATCAGCAAAATTGCACGTTAGTATGATACATGTGGAATATTTTTGTCCTAACCCATTTTACATGTGTCATGGTAGGGCGGACCGCTGCACAACCATTACTCATAGATGGTTGGGCACTGTTACAAATTGGGGGTCATTTTTACCATTTTTATAAAATTGTATCATACTTAAGTTAATGATGAGAGTAATTCCTCACAAAATTCTGTATGCGTAGATTTGCAATATAACGCTTTATATATGCGCAGAGAGAGATAATGTTCATCTTAAAGCATTTATCAGAGAAGTGGCACTGGAGCATCTGAAGTTATCAATGAAGATGGCAAGGGAAATTCTGGAAATTCTGACGGAAAATCTTGGGGCAAAGCTGGGGGAGTCGAAGATGGAAGGATTGGGTACAGGATGGTGAACATGAACCAGTATCCTGCATCTCACTGTTGGCATAGGACGTCACTCTAATATGGGCACTCTCACTGTGCTCCTCCAAGACGCCATCGGCGGCTTACACGTCAAACATCTTCATGCTTCTGCAAACAAAGGAGCCAGGATCGAGATCCCTCCAATCTCCGCAGCTCTTGTCAGCAACATCGGGGACACTTTGCAGGTTTCCTATTCTTAATATTTACCGCTACAAAAAAAAAAAAAAACCAGTTTTTCAAAATTTAAATCACAGCATGATGATATAATACCAACATACGTGAAGCTGAAGTGATTAATAATGTGCGTGTGTGATAGTGGAAGATACTGAGCAATGGAAGGTATAGGAGTGCAGAACACAGAGTGAGAGCAACGAGTGAGCAGAGCAGAGTGTCGACGCCAGTGTTCTTGATCCCAAACCCTACGGACAAGATAGGGCCACTGGCTCATGATCAAGTGGTGAAGATGGATGGGACGACTCGTTACAGAGAGACAGTGTTCGAGGATTACATGCACACGACTTTATTCCTCACTAACGCTCATCAAGGCTAAAACTCTCTTCACTTTGCAGCCCTCAACGAACACACCGCTTCTTTTGAAGACCAATCATCATCAGGCTTTCTTGTATTTTTCAATTTCACGTATCAAGTAACCTTCCTTTGGCATTGCCAACTATGAATCATACCCCAACCTGCGGTTTTATAAAGTATTTTTAGAAGTGATTCGTTATCCTAACATATAAAACAGTTTAATAACAATAAAATTTCATTAATTATAGGTGCTGCAATACTGCTCTTTTCTGTTTATTGTTTTTTCTCTATTTATTTAACATTTCACAAACAAGATTATGCTTACTTTCTATCTATTTACAAATCATTCTAGCATATTTTAATATAATTAAAAAAATTAAATATCATTAATTCTGTTTTAAAATTTAATAAATTATCACCTCTTTCCCTGATAAGCACAAAAAAAAATTACCTTAAATAATTTTGCCTAGCATTTAATAAGAGTAGAAAGATAAAAAAAATATGGGCATAGAAAATAGCGAAATGTCCTATAAATAGAATTTAATTTAATTTTCTCTTTCTACCCTACAAATAAGATTAGAGGAATGTTAAATGAATGACATTTTTAAAAATTTAAATTTGT